TTTTGGAGACTACAATATATGTCAAATTGTAAACTCAGCCCTGAATGGAACAATCAAACCAGTACTGCTATTGCAGAAGAGGACATTTAATTGTGGGGTAATTAAGCAATGGTGCAATTAGTCCATTGGAAACAAGGCACAATTTTTCAGGTCCAAGTCCAATTTGCTACCTATGTTTGCACTTCAAAGAAAAAGCAGTGCCCTCCCCCAAAATGTAGGAGAGACAGTAATAGATTTGCATTTATTTAGTTACATAAAACAAAGTAATGTTCAGCAAGTAAGAAAGTTAATTCAGTAGAAATGCTGCTTAAAAGCAAGAAGACAGTCTGTAACTGTGACCAAAACTGCAATGTAAATATTGTTTTGAAATAGTTATGAAGTGCACTACTGATTCTTAACAGCAAAAGCCACCTTTAATATTTTCCTTTTAATTGACTCTTACATAGACATGTCAGCAGGATAGATAAGAATCCATTAAAAAAAAAATTATTTATTTAAATAAATAAATTCATTTCATTTCATTTATTTATTTAAATAAATTCATTTCATTTATTTAAATAAATTCATTTCATTTATTTATTTATTTAAATAAATAAATTCGTTTCATTTATTTATTTATTTAAATAAATAAATTCATTTCATTCATTTATTTATTTAAATAAATAAATTAATTTCATTTATTTAAATGAGGGTTTTGGTTGGTTTTTAGTAAAAAATGCAGTGCCTTTTTAAAAAAAAGTTTAAAAGGAAATTTAGATCTAATGCAGATTAGATTTACAATTTATACTTTAATCTCTCAACACTGAGTCATAACCATTATCAAAGACCATGCGGTGTAAGCATATGAGTATCTTACTCAAATGTATGCCATACTAAGCTTAATGGGATTTATGCCCCAGGTAAGTATGCATGGTATGGTACCCTTAGTTAAAGGCTAACACTGTAGAATAATGTTGCTTGTTCCTGGAATTGCATTGCCTCCAGCACATTTACAACGTGTTCTATATCCATTTTATCTGCTTTTCCCAGTTTCGTTCTGAGCCATTGTTGTGCCCAAACCATGTCCAAATGTTGCACCAACTTCAGGCTGGCATGATCTACTTGCCCCCCCTTCTGTCCTGGCCACCATATGCAGGTCTGTGGCAGTGGACATGTCTCATATTGTACAATTTCTTCCCACTTTACCACTTTAGCTAATGAGGCCTCTTCCTGCTGCCACACCGCCGGAGCACAATTTCTGTTCTCATCCTGAAGCAAAGTTCTTAACCCGAGGTACTATTTCTGGGTTAGTGCAGTCTGTAACCTGAAGCGTATGTAACCCGAGGTACCACTGTATAAATGACATAAAATATATACTCAAATTATTCAAGATATACTCAAGATATTGCAAGCACTGGGATCCCAGAGATGCTACCCTGTACCTCACAAGTGGCAGCACCACAATTCTGGTCGGACAATTGCTGTGGACTATTGGGATTCTACCTCCTTTACTGGGAACTCTGTTGGACAGCCAATTCTGAGTCCACATACTTGATGCTGGGTGTCAGAGACAGAAGAGAGCACAAAAGGGGGAACCTGTGGCCCTACATATGCTGTTGGGACTCAAGCACAAATCATCCCCAACCAACATGGCCAATTGTCAGGGATGATGGGAGTTGTAGTCCATCAACACCTGCAGGGCCACAGGTTCCCCATCCCTGTAATGTAAATTCTGCTGGTAACCCATCCTCTTGTTCGGCTAAGTTTTGACTTTCAATGGCTTCTAAATGGCATAGGGGCGAGGGACCGATTAGAATGGTCTTCTGCCAGAGGCTAATTGATCCAAATGACTTCCTAGCCATCCTTTATGTCAGGGACAGAAGCCGCCCATGCTAGAACAAGAAACCGATGACTCTGCCCAGTGTGGTGGTGAGCCACCAGAATTGCTTCTTGACATGTTGTCCTAGTAATGAAGTATTCTCAGACTCTGGGATGGCATTGTGCAACAGGCTGGCCACTGGACTCTACTGGACAGGAAGGCGACTGTAACTGTCATGGAAATAGTCAAGCGAGCACTGTGGCCTTGCTGATTACCTTGGAGATATACATATACATATACATATACATATACATATACATATACATACACACACACAATTTCAACATAGCAAATTATCAAAACAAATCATCTTCATTATTCCTCACCTTTTTTCCCTCCCTCCCCCCGTGACTTTCCTCAGCTCCTCTCTCTGATTTCTCATTCAATGTTAACTTCTGCATATGATAAAGCTGTATACATTCTTATATTATCTATCTTCTATGTTATCCCTCAATAAATTTGTGTATGTTTATTCAAAACCTGCCAAGGAGTCCAATTCATTTTGTTGTCTTTTTAAAAAAATTGTGATGGGTTCCCATTCTTCTTTGAAGTCACAGTTGTCCTTGTCTCGTAATTTGCATGTCAATTTCGCCAGTTCTGCATAGTTCATCAATTTCTCTTGCCACTGTTCTTTTGTCGTGGTTTCTTCATTCTTCCATCCTTGTGCAATCAAGACTCTTGCTGCTGTTGTAGCATACATAAGTAAGTTCTTTCTCTTCCTTGGCAGCTTTCAACATCCTTCTGGGAAGCCTCACAGTGCTGACACGGGGTGGGAGAGACACTATGTTGAAGTGACTCTGGTCATTCATCAACATTATTCTGGAGAAAGGGTGGGGAACTGTTTTCAACGGTGCCACTCCAACCCACTGGGCCAGATAACAATGGGAGGCAATGCCAGAGGCCAAAAAAAAAAAAAAAAGGTGAGTGGAGCAATTGACCTTTGTACAGTAGGGTACATTTCACCCTTGCAATCCTCACCTGCTTATTCCATCTTGGCAAGCAAGAGATATTATTACAAGACATATAGATATATTCAAGACCACCTTCCAGCCAGGAAGAACTACAGGAGGGCATGCAGTAGGGCCAAAAAAGCTGTAGCCTGGGAAGAGTCCTGAGGGCCACACCTTGCTGTCTAGATCCAGCTCCCTGAAACTCAATGACTGTTGGAGCTAGATGTCACTAGATTCAACCAAGCAACAGACAATCCCAGCTCAGCACTTTGCAAGTCTAGGGCTGTCTACATAAAGAGTGCACTAAGTAAGTTTCTTTCCAGGAAGGAACATACAGGCTATGCTTTTCTCAAGCGACATTCTCCAGGGCAATCCTGTTTGCATATGATAAAACAGCACAGCAAAAACAGACAACCAATTGCTTTGGTAATGTAATATATTTGGGTATCGAATTAAATATCTAACATTGTATGAATCTGCCTCCCACACTGTTTGATCTTAGATGTGTCTTCCTTGTCAATGCTTGGGCTTGGGGGAATGGTACAATGTTCTCAGACATTTTCAAGAGCTCAACGCAGGTTAGCCTCCCGCTATATAAAATGCAAGGTTACCCAGACCATGATGGAGGTGTGTGCAAAAAAATTCCACTAAATCAGTGATAGAAGTACAGAAAGGATTATACCGTCTAATCTCAATGCTGTCACAAGAGCTGAGCCACTTGACACTGTTTGACTATGGTCACCTGCACAGCTAGTTTGGGGTGTTCGGAAGAAAGCCCAACATTTTGAATCAACCAACACCCAGGTCTTCTTGAAAAAGCCTACTCCAGTCCATAATTGCGGCACAGCCACCAGCTTCTACTAGACTTCTACTAGAAGTGTATGAACTACTGCATGGGTAGCCTGTGTGGTGTTCTTCAGGTGTCCCTGGACTACAGTTCTCATCTTAGGTTGCTGGGGAGTGGGGAGTCGGCCAGCAAAGTTCCTCCCAGTCCAAGTGAGCCTACCTTGCTCAGCCCCACGCTCGGAGGAAGGCTGTGGGAACTGGCGCCATGACTACAACCCCACCGAAATAATAACAACAACAACTTTTATTTATACCCCACCCTCCCTGGCCAAAGTTGGGCTCAGGGTTGCTAATATCAGATATATAACATTGGTATAAAATTGAACAATAATTAAATTACCTCCTAAAAACAGGTCAAAATCAAATTGAAGTCTAATTAGATGGCTTTCCGCAGGGTTAGGGTTGGAAAAAGTAAGTAACATGGGAAGTTAACCAGATTGAATAAGCTTGCAAAAGTAGTTGAAGGCAGCTTCCAAAGAGGCTGGACAGCTGGGGTGGGGAAGAGACAAGCAGGAGAGGGCTTTCTCTTCACAAACCCTTCCATTCTCATGGGTGATCTGACTTCTCACCCTCTTATCTAATGTTTTCTACTCTACTGTCCCTTTGCTGCTCTTCAGTAATGAGGTTTCGGTGTTGCATTTAGTATAAAAATGTATAAACCACCCTCAATCCAAAACTGGATTTCAGGGCTAAATACGAATAACTTTAAAATTACAAAAACTTTATAATATGAACTAACATTACAATTAAGAGGGATTTCAGAATGCTTTCTTTTTAAGTGTTCTGTTCTACTTCATACTTATGTTTACATTTCCAGATTTGTTTTTTTCACAATATTGGTCTCAACCATCCTCATAAACATGATGGGAGATGGATGATTCCCTTTTCACAAAAAGGGAGAGAAACTTTGAGCGAGCGTAGTCCATAGGTTCAGCTGGGATTCCACCTTTAAATCTAATATTCCCTCTACTGCATCTCATTGTTCTAATTATTTGTAATACGCTTAAGAGCAAGCTCTAGTGCCTTCTTAAAACAGCAGCAATTCTCAGCTATTACAATGGAAAAATCCTATCGCCATGCTTAAAACTGGAAATTGCATTCAGTATCAATTTCACCTGAAAAACGAGATATTCATGTGCGGTAGCTTCCCATACACTCCCTGCTTACATCACTGACATGCAAAAAGATTTCCCAATTTGTACCTAAGCAAAGCATGGTGCTTAAGTCTCCACAACGTGCCAATGCAAAGTTGCTGAAGATAATCACAAAGATTAAGAAATGTTATCTCCTGCTACTTTCCCACTAGGCATATCACAAAAATACATTGTGCAGTGACAAAATGCTTTCAAATGAGAAATAATGGCACAATTTATTATGTAGATAACTCCTTGCCCTCCTTATATCTTCTTTCCAGGAAGAAACATTTCTGGTATGGGAAATACATTCTTTCCAAACCACAATATTTTGCAGTTTGAGATGTGTGATTTTCTCTTTGAAGCAGGTCATTTCAAACTTTCCATTTCTCTCTCTTATTTCTCAACTGGCATAATTTATTATTACTATTATTTGTTCGCAGAATATGTACCTTCTCCTCCAACAAAAATGCTCCCAGCTGGCTTACGTACAGTCAGTTAGAACAAGGCAATCCCTGCCTACAGGCTTACAACCTAAGGGGAAAGGGTCAGGGAGGGGAGAAGTGGGGAAGAGATAATCAAATTCAAGCCAGTTCTTAAACAGTTGTTCTCAAAGACCAGCTGGCCCAGTTCAGGAGTAGGAGGTGCTCAAGAGACCTGGTCTGTTACAGCAGAGCTGATGGAGTAAGTTCTGCTTCCTGTATCTCCCACTGGGACAATCTAATACAACACTGCTCCCAGGTGACAGTTGAAAAAGCGAGTTCTGCTTCCCAACTACATTCAGAGTTCACCCCATTGCATTTAGGGCTTCACTGCAGCCTACTGCACCCCAGTGCTGCTCCCCTCCCAGTAATTCTCCTTGCCTCTTACCTGTTTCTCTTTCTTCCTTGCTCCAAGTAAACCTGTTGGTCCAGGCTTTTCCTGTGGAATCTTTGCAGAGATTTACTTCTGTATATACTAAGTTGCCCAATGTTTTGTAAGAAACTCAGTAAGTTTCAAACCTGCAACTGAAGCCTGTGTTTTCTTGGCATTTCCTCCTGAAATTGGTGTGTAACGGACATGTCCCTATGGACTGCACGACTCTGGGCATTTTACATGCATGTATAACTTTTGAACAAGGACCTATGTCGACATCATGACGGATGGACAACATTTGGCTTTGAGAATCACAATTTTTGCAGGCCTGATATGTATCAAGCGAGTTGTTCTTATATATCAGATGCAGCAGGTAAATGAAGAACAACATTTGCAGACCTGTGGTTACCCACCAAGCAGAACACAGTCCCCAGAGAAGTGCTGTGATGCTTCAGGTGCTTGTTTTTGCTGCCTGCATGGTGAAAAAGAGAAGGCTCGTTGATTCCCTGCTAAGCCATCATATATGGTAAGTGGACTGTGTTCAGTTTGAAGTGGGGTAACAAGTTATAAAAGACTATTAGAGGCAGAATACTCCCAGGATCCATATTTTCTGCAGCAGTCACAAGTAAGTGCACTTTTATCTCCTTTGCCCATGCCTTTCATTTCACAACCTTTTTAAAAGACTGAAACTCTTGAGCTGGATCAAATACTGAGCAACAGGAGTTCCCTGTGCACCTCCAAAATTTGTTCAGGCTGGTCCCTCAACCTTTTGGAGCAGATTTTGAGGGTGCAACAAGGAGGGAGGTGAAGGAGAAGTTCCAATGTGCAGGAGGAAGTCTGTTGCATAAGCAGAACAGAAGTACTGGATAAAACGATTAACTTTGATTCTGTTTAATTATTTTACATGCTTGTCCAGAGATGGAGCACACAGCTGCCCTACTATCTCTTATAAAAGTGATAGATATTCCTGTTGAGAAAGGTTATGCCTTTCCATTGGGATGGAATATCAAGGAGAGCAAAAATAAAATTCAGGGTTTTATTTTATTATTATTTTCTTTTTAAAAAGTCACCCCCAGTGGCTGAATTATACATACCCACAGGCAAGACCATATCCTCCAGTCAAACACTTCCACACTTAAACACATCAATGGATTAGTCATTATAAAGAGTCCGTGTTTCTCATCCAGTTGGACCAGCTTTTAATGACCCATAGACAAATCCCAAAGAACGTGCCTCTGACCATAGGTTCTGGTAAACTTTAAGCTTCTGGAAAAACTCATTTGAAAACTATTAAGTGGGAGAAGGTGGGGGATGGGCACTGCAGATCCTTAGACTTTGAACTTCTTTGAAGCAGATCTGTGCTCGCTACTAATAGTTTCAACAGAAGTCAAGAGCTTCAGGAGTGCACTTGGATTGTACGGAAAGAGGTTCCTTCTGTGTAGTCTAGAAACCGACTCTTGCACTTGTTGGAAACACTCCACTGATTTCTGAAGCACCCCTTCTTCTGATCCACGTTTATTTAGCAAAATCGTGGAGTGAAAAGGTGAGGAAGTATCCAAAGTATCCTGAGGCAACACATATCGTTCTGTCTGGCCATCCACATCCATAAGGCCAGTGACTTCTGCACAAGCTTGATCTAAAGGTGTCTGCCTCATGTCAGCCAAACTCTCCTCTTCTATCCATTCCACCTCCGAATCTTCTGAGCTTTCATAATCCACCAGCCTTTGAAGGGCTCCCACCAAAGACATATTATCAGACTCTTGCAAAAGGTTAGATCTGCTGGGTTTTACAGCTTGACTGTCAGTATGCCACAGTGCAGAAAAATTTGGGAAAGAGGTTGAAAGGATCTCAGTACTGGATGGGGGATGATACGAAGCATCCTGCAAATTTGAGTCTAGCTGGTAGGCACTTTTTTCTTGGCAGGGCAAGTTCACCGTAGAAAAGCTGAGCTCTCCATTAGAGGTGGTCTTGAAGTATTTAGAAATCTTGACAAAATGGTCCCAGTCTTGTACAAGAAGCTTTAAGTATCTTACAAAATATTCCAAGAAGCAGGTTTCAGATGAAATCAAGAAATCAAGTAGAACTGTGGCATCAAATGAAATACTTTTCAGCAAAAATAAGAAGATACAATGGGGATTGCAGCCATTCTGATGTGTAAAAGCAGCCCAGGTTCCATCATCAGAATGATATAAGGAAAGACCAGCTTTGTGCCAGAACCTAGAAAGTTAACAGTTGTAGAGTAAGCAATTCATTGCTTTTGAATCAGTGAACATTTTAGCAAAGTTCTGTTATTTACCATAGCCTGGTCCAAACATAATGAGCTTTGTCTAATACGGCATAGTTCGGTGTAATGCATGCTGCCCATGCACATCATCCTCCCTCAACATTTCCAGGCCTTGTCAAACCATAGTTTCCAATTATATCTAAACCAGGAAACTGTGGCTTAATCTCCTACTACAAAGCAGGCTATGAAACCAATATATGCTGCGAGAAGTGAGGTTACAAGGAACCAGGCAGAGGGCTTTCTCGACAGTGGCACCCGCCCTGTGGAATGCCCTCCCATCAGATGTCAAGGGAAAAAACAACTATCTGGCTTTTAGAAGACATCTGAAGGCAGTCCTGTTTAGGGAAGTTTTTAATGTTTGAAGTTTTATTCTGTTTTTAGTGTTCTGTTGGGAGCCGCCCAGAGTGGCTGGGGAAACCCAGCCAGATGGGCAGGGTGTGAATAATAAAATGTTATGATGATGCATCCTGGTTTGTGGTCAGTGATCTGGACTCATGAGGAGAGTGCATTACACTATGTTGTGAGCTTCCCAAAGATATCAGACTGTGTGCTGTTCGAGTAAAAATGCTTGCCTAGGTGAATCCTTTGCCTTATCCAGCAAAGCAATTCTTATGGTTTAAAATAAACAAAAAAATGCTAAACTTATTAGAATGATTTATTACAATGAATACTAAGCAAATCAGTATGGAGAAACAACATGCATAGTAGATATGAATGTGATGAAATACCTAGAGAAGGTTCTCCAACTTGAAACTCTCAAAAGTCAGGTACTAAAACATAGCATTTTCTGAAAGTACAGTTGTCACCCAATTACAAGGGTGCAATCCTCTACTCACTTACCTGGGAGTAAGCCACTGGAGTCAGTGGGGGTTAGTTCTCAGTAGACATACATAGGATTGTGCTGTTATCTAACTATGGAAGTGCTAGGTTATTATATTTGTCTAAAGGTGAGGGTTCTTTAAGGTGATACATGTATGCATTAGAGTGGGCACACATCTTATAAACGGTATTCCCTCATATGCTAGAGAAAGGGAAATGGCTTTTTAAAGATGGTGCCCACCACACATGGCTTTGTAAGCAGCTGCATTAAAGACAGATTAAATCTTTTTTTTTACCTGATCAAAAGGCTTAAATTAATCAATGCTACAGTCTGCATTTATTCATTATACTTACAGCCCAGCTTTCAAAACAAAGGTTCCTGCTTACTAAAACACTACATGATTATTTCATTAGAATACAGCACATCAAAATATAAAACCATAAATCATATATATAATGCAACAATTGCAATTCTGCAGCAGAGACACCTGTTGCTGTTTCTTTTAAAAAAAACTCAGCCACCCCCACAAGCCCAAAGGACATGATACTCCTTGATTTGGTGTTGTGAAACTGTAATTCTTGAAGCAACAATAAATTTCTATACTGTTTGGATAGTTCTGCACCTCTAATTCCCAAGATAAAAGCTTCTGGGTTGTTTGTTTTTTTACAAATGTTATCTTAAACATCTTTTTTTAACTCGTTATATATCATTTCCCCGTAAGCTTTTACTTTACTACAAACCACCATATATGATAAAAAAACCTTCTTTCTCTTTGCATTTCCACCACTTAATTCGATTTTGATTTATACATTTTCTCCAATCTATTAGGTGTTAGATACCATCTATATAACATTTCCATATAATTTTCTCTTAAAGCATAACGTATTGTAAATTTTATGCCCATATTCCACAATTGTTCCCATGCTTCCATATCTGTATTATAACAAAAATATATTACCCAATGTATCATTGATGATTTTACTTGCTCATCCTTTGTCTCCCATTCCAATAATATCTTATACATTTTAGACAGCACTTTAGCATTACATTCCAACAGGTGTCTTTCCAATTGTGATAATTGTTCTCCAAATCGTTTCATATCTGTCAGGGAACTGCCATCAGCTCAGAGGCGAGAGGTGGAAGGGCAGTTGTGTTACAGGGAGCCTCCGAAGATCTTGCGAAGCAGTTCTTCCTTGGGCAAGGAGGGAAGCCCTGCCTCCAGTGGGGAAGGGGCGCAGGGATCAGAAGATGCTAGGGAGAGCCTCAACACTAAGCCTGAGCAAAGCGGAGGGGAGGCAAGTCCCCCTTTGCCAACGCCCACTTTACGCAGTAGGTTTGCGCACAGAGAGGGGAGGAGAAGGATGAGGGTCACACAACTGTTATGCTGGGGAAGGTATAAGGACTGCCCAATCCCAGATTCTGCTAGCGACTGAGCAGACATGGACTTGCGATGCTCCGCACTGAAAATAGTTTGTACAGATAATAAAGCCTGGAAAAGACATGTTGGAGTTTTGCCTGTTTGCTCTCGAGCAACCACACCATTACCTGACAATATCTTTCATAAATACTTCATTCAAATGACATTGTATCCATGTTGTTAACATTCCTGATAAATCCTTAAATTCATTTAATTTAAATTCTCCTCCATCCTCTCTTAATAAATTTCTATAAGTTGCCCACCCTTCCGTCATAATCTTTTTCTTTACTCCTATGGCTTCCAATGGTGAAAGCCAAAGTGGTGTTTTTTATATTTTTATTATTTTTTTATTATATTTTTATATTTATCCCATATATACAAATTTCTCCTAATTGTATGGTTTGTAAATCCTTTATGTAATTTCACCTTTTCATACCACAAATAAGTGTGCCAACCAAAAACATCATGACCTTCTAAGTCTAAAATATGCAGATTTTTCCAATGTCAACCATTCATTCAACCAGCATAGACAAGATGCTTCATAATATAATCTCATATATGGCAGGGGAAAACCTTCTTTTTCACATTTATCAATATTTTATCTTTTCAGTTTTTTCCCTTGCCAGATATATTTAGAAATATCTTTTTGCCATACATTGAAACATTCTGTCTTGCCAACCACCAGGATCGATTGAAACAAAAATAACTTTCTTGGTAATACATTCATTTTTACATGGCATCCTTTTAAAACCCATTTCTACCTCTTACTCCTACTCCCTTCAGTTAGTTTCAGGCTGAACTGTTACCTGAAATATAGATGAAATCAGTTTCTTATTTGTGATGCCCAATGTTTTTTTTTTAAATAAATGAATAAATAAAAGGTTTATGACTTCAGAAAAGTGAAAATGAACACTAACCTTTCGAACTTTAAATGAACTGTTAATAGAGTTTTTGCAGCTTCCAACATGTCGTCGTCCTGTTCTATGAACAGCGTAGAGAGCCATGCGCAAGGATGTTCAGATGCGTGAGATGACCACACATGGCTCTTTAAGAATGCCAGCAGTGGGTGCATAATACTCTCCAGTTGAACTAAAAGCAAAAATGAGAAGGAGAAGAAAGGATCCTTGTGAGCCAAGCTCCCTTTAATCAAACCAAACATTCACTTTTGAGTGTTCCCAAGTGTGCCTTTTGCACATGCTCTAGACTGGCTACTTATCACTAGCTACTCTACTAAAAGGTTTCAGAAGGAATGCAGAGGGAAAGTTTCAAGAAATAGTGTGAATTTGCATATTACCTCCAAATACCTTGTGATGGTAGGCAACTGGCAGCCTGTGGAACAACTCTGGCGTAACATTAATTTAAGTTCATTCTGCATTATCCTAAGCCTGGCTAGATGATAAAACAGCCTTTTGAACCCAGGCAATCTTGCCAAAGCTGGCTGGCGAAAGGAGACAAAATTGCCAGAAATGCATCCATGCACCACCATAGTTCTTGCTCTCTTTGTGCCCCCCACTCCATTGACAATATGGGCCTTTTAGGCTCGGTGGAGGTATAAGCAGGTGGGTAACAAATAAATTGTAAGTGGAAGAAAGGGGTTAATTTGTGCAATGGTAGCACCCCCTTTTGCACTATTTGCCTTTAATTAGAGATATTTGCCACTATTCCAGGGGCAGCTGTTGAGCATTTACAACCAGGTGGACTAAAAGGTAAGGTCTGCAACTGTTGAGCTGGAATATTAATGGTTGTAACATTCCGGAAAAAGGAAGAAAATATTTCATATATTAAAAAGAACAATTGGACATTATCTGTTTACAAGAAACACATGTGACGAGGCTCCACAGAAAAGTGTTAATAAATAAAAGATTGGGCCAGGAATTTATTTAGTCGGACAAAGTGAAGAAGAGAGGAGGTGGGGTATATGCAAAATAGAGCCTGTCACCTAAATTTCTATTTAAAGATGAACATGGAAGGATTTTGGCTATTGAGATACAATATCAAGGAGAGAAACTGCTGATATTAGGAATCTATGCACCCAATGAAGGGAAATCGGAATTTTACAAGAAGTTGCAGGGGACAATGCTGGATCATCTGGATTACAACAACATCATAATGATGGGAGACATGAACGAGGTCAGTATCAACTAACATGGACAAGTCGCAAAGTCAAAATGTTACAAAAGATGGCAGACTACCTAAAACCTTTTTGAAATGACTGACAATATGGACTTGATCGACATTTGGAGAACAAAGAACCCACTAGGTAGAGAAGGAACATTCTTTTCTGAAGCCCAACTGACCTGGACAAGAATCGACCAAATATGGATTTCTAGAGGCCTGGCACCTAGGGTTAGAAAAGTGGAAATCTGCCCAAAGACCTGCTCTGACCACAACGCAGTAAAGATGGATATGACACTACTACCAACTGGATCCTTTAGATGGAAGATGAATGACAATTTGTTTAGAGATCAGGAAATTACCAAGAAGGCCCAAAAAGTTTTGAAAGACTATTTCGAGATAAACATGAATAATTCGGTGGAAAAAGAATCGTCTGGGACGCAAGCAAAGCTGTCATGAGGGGATTCTTGATACAACAGAATGTAGTAAGGAAAAAAACACAAAATGAGAAAAAGACAAGATCTTGGATAAAATAAAAGAATTAGAGAAGAAATTAAGAGTGAATCCAAAGTCACAGCCAACTCTGAGAGAAATTAAACTGTATCAAACACAATATTCTAAATTGATAAATCAGGAAATTGAATGGAAGATTAAATTAATGAAACAAAAACGTTTGAGTCGGCGAATAAATGTGGAAAACTGCTATCTTGGCAGTTGAAGAGAAGACAAAGATTAAATACGGTTACAAATTTAGAGGTCGATGGAAGAAACATTCAGAATCCAGTGGACATTAGAAAGTGTTTCCAGAGATATTTAAAAAACTATATACCCAAGGGCCGCAAGACGAAGTCGAGATTAAACAATTTTTGGCAAAAATGGATTATCTAAACTGTCACAAGAAAATAGGACAACCCTGAACTCTAAAATAACACGACAGGAGATTGAACAAGCTATTCAGAACATGCAACTTGGCAAATCTCCAGGGCCAGACGGGCTGACCTCCAAGTATTATAAGACACTAAAAGACTATTTGATACAACCCTTGATGGAGGTTAGCAATGAAATTATGGAGGGAAGAGGGCACCGGATTCGTGGAAGGAAGCGTTTATCACATTGATACCAAAGTCAGAAGCTGAAAAGACACAACTGAAGAACTACCGTCCCATCTCCCTTTTAAATGTGGATTACAAAATATTTGCAGATATTTTGGCAAGTAGATTTAAAAAGTTTTAAATGAAGTAATTCATAAGGACCAGGCCGGTTTTCTCCCAGGTAGACATCTGTTTGCTAACACAAGGAACATTATTGATATCTTGGAACTTCTCCAAACTGACATAAATACAAAAGCAGTTTTAATTTTTATAGATGCGGAGAAGGCCTTTGATAATATTTCTTGGAAATTTATGATGGGAAACTTAAAAGAGATGGGAGTGGGACGGGGTTTTGAGAATGGGATTGAGGCGATATATTCAGAACAGAAAGCTAAACTGATAGTTAATAATGTGGTTACAGAAGAGTTCAAAATTGAAAAAGGGACACGACAAGGTTGCCCTATCTCCCCTTTGTTATTTATTTCGGTTCTGGAAGTGCTATTGAACATGATTAGAGGGGACCAGTTGGTGGAAGGAATTCAGGTTGGTCAGAAACAATATAAACTAAAAGCTTTTGCAGATGACCTGGTTTTGACCTTGCAGAAGCCAGAGCCTAGTACGAAAAGAGTATTACAATTGATTAATGACTTTGGTCGGGTGGCGGGATTTAAATTAAATAAACAGAAAACCAAGGTTTTGGGAAAAAATTTGACTGAGACAGAGTCAGAACGGTTTCAGAATGAGACGGAACTTAATGTGGTTAAAAAGTAAAATACCTAGGGGTAAACATAACAGCAAAAAATCTAAGTCTATTTAAGGATAACTATGAAAAATGTTGGACAGAAATTAAGAGAGACTTAGACAGTTGGTCAAAATTGAAACTTTCTTTGTTAGGCCGAATTGCTGCGATTAAGATGAATGTATTGCCAAGAATGTTGTTTTTATTTCAAACACTTCAGGTTTTGGACAAAATGGAGTGCTTTCAGAAGTGGCAGAGAGACATTTCGAAGTTTGTCTGGCAGGGCAAAAAGCCCAGAATTAAGTTTAAGATACTAACTGATGCAAAACAAAGAGGGGCTTTGCCCTGCCGGACTTAAAGTTGTATTACGAAGCCGCAGCGTTCTGCTGGCTAAAAGATTGGCTACTTCTTGAAGACACTGATGTGTTAGATTTGGAAGGGTTTAACAATGTTTTTGGATGGCATGCATATTTATGGTATGACAAAGTTAAAGCAAATAAGGCCTTTAAGAACCATATTGTTAGAAAATCACTGTTTAATGTCTGGACAAAATATAAAGACTTGCTGGAAAATAAAACACCAAGGTGGCTTTCACCTTTGGAAGCTAAGGCCCGAAAAAGACCCAATATGGAGGCCAAATGGCCAAAATATTGGGAAATACTAGACACAGATGGAGACAATTGGAAATTGCAGAGTTTGGAGAAAATGAAAGACAAAGTGCGAGATTGGTTACATTATGCTCAGATTAAAGAAGTTTTTAAAAATGATAAGAAACTAGGGTTCCAGGTGGAGAAATCGAAATTAGAAACAGAATTGTTAGAACCAAAGATTAAGATACTTTCAAGGATGTATAACTTGCTGTTGGAATGGAATACACAAGATGAAATGGTTAAATCGGCTATGATAAGGTGGGCACAGGATATTGGGCATAATATTATGTTTGAGGACTGGGAAAGGCTGTGGAGTAATGGATTGAAATTTACTGCATGTAATGCTTTGAAAGAAAATGTAATGAAAATGATTTATAGATGGTATATGACCCCAGTCAAACTCGCAAAAATTTACCACCTGTCTGATAACAAGTGCTGGAAATGTAAAGAGTGTGAAGGAACGTTCTTTCACCTCTGGTGGACCTGCCCTAAAGTGAAGGCGTTCTGGGAAATGATTTATAATGAATTGAAAAAGGTATTTAAATATACTTTCACTAAGAAACCAGAGGCTTTCCTTTTGGGTATTGTCAGCCAAGGGGTGGCAAAGAAGGACCAAACATTTTTANGTATGCAACAACAGCAGCAAGGATACTACTCGCAAAACATTGGAAAACTCAAGATCTACCCACACTGGAAGAATGGCAGATGCAACTGATAGACTATATGCAACTGGCTGAAATGACTGGCAGAATCCGTGACCTGGGAGAAGAGAGAATCGAGGAGGATTGGAAGAAATTTAAGAACTACCTACAAAAACATTGTGATTTGACTGAATGCTGAATAAGATGCTAGACTAAATAACTGAGCACCACTTAACTTAGAAGTTTTTAAGAAAATAAGAAAAACTGTGAAAGTTTAACTCTTTATGAGAACTATAAGATCATGAAATATCGAAGAGATATAAGAATTTAAATAAGATGATAAATTGCTGACAAAATGTTATAATGATGAAGGTGGGAGCGGGAGATGTGAGGAAGTCCAAAGAAAATGTGAAATTATGTTAAGACGAATGTTATATTGTTTATTAAAAGGTAAAGGGACCCCTGACCATTAGGTCCAGTCGTGACCGACTCTGGGGTTGCGGCGCTCATCGCACTCTGGGGTTGCGGCGCTCATCTTGCTTTACTGGCCGAGGGAGCCAGTGTACAGCTTCCGGGTCATGTGGCCAGCATGACTAAGCCGCTTCTGGCGAACCAGAGCAGCGCACGGAAACGCCGTTTACCTTCCCGCCGGAGCGGTACCTATTTATCTACTTGCACTTTGACGTGCTTTTGAACTGCAGGAGCAGGGACAGAGCAAGGGGAGCTCACCCCATCGCGGGGATTCGAACCACCGACCTTCTGATCAGCAAGCCCTAGGCTCTGTGGTTTAACCCACAGCGCCACCCGCGTCCTTGGACTAAAAGGTAGCTTGAGACAAATCAGGACTGAGCCCCAAAAGGGTTAATATTTATCTCACAGCCCTATAAACAAGTATCTAGCCAGTGAATGCAACACATCCATAAAACAGCATAAAAGGCTTCACATTTGGCATGGTGATAAACCGGAATGGGTGGACTGAGCTACACTTTAGAAAAGGCCTTGGCAAAACTGAAGGGTCTTGGGCAGAAGCCTGGGCAGTGTGTACGAAGGTCCTGGGCTGCCCAGACAACAAGACCCCTCTCTTGACCTCACTGATGTGGTCCAAAGGAAAACAGAGCAGTACATTTGGCACTAGCTTGGCTGTAGGAGTTGCCTGAAGAAGACATGCAAGGCACCATCCAACGATCTTAATCTACTGATTAAAGCTTGCAGCTTAAACAAAGTAATTGGAGAGCATGTATCCAAGCAACTATCTGGTGCCTTGATAGGCCTTCAGGCAATGTCTTCTCTTACGGGAATCATTAAACTTTTTAGATCCATTTTGGTTTTCTGAGCAAGTGCTGTGGGCTCCACTCCTTCGGGTTATCCTCTAGACAGGAAGAAATGTAGATGCGGGTGCCAATATGAACTTTTCCTATGGTTTATTACTGTAGATAATGGCAGCAGTACAGTCAGCAGTACTTGATATAAAAACAGACCCCCATTGCTAACCCCATCCTGGTGCTACTTCTTATCCAAAACGCATCCTGGAATGCATCGGTAAACTCCTTGTCTTTTAATGTAAGGATCAGCACAGTAATCTTGTGCTACTACCAAACATAATTAATACCCCCTGTGGGGGCCCTGCACAGACAATAGAATCTAAACTTAGAATTCAACAAACAGAAATTTCTCACTAGGATTACAGTGGTACCTCGGGTTAAGTACTTAATTTGTTCCGGAGGTCCGTTCTTAACCTGAAACTGTTCTTAACCTGAAGCACCACTTTAGCTGGAGCACGATTTCTGTTCTCACCCTGAAGCAAAGTTCTTAACCCGAGGTACTATTTCTGGGTTAGTGGAGTCTGTAACCTGAAGCGTATGTAACCTGAGGTACCACTGTATGTCCTTTCAATTACCAACTGACCAAAGAAATCAAAATGGGGGAAAAATAGGAACTTGTAGGAAATAAACAATGAAACGAAAGAATAAAATGTATTGACAATTGCTCATTCAAAAGCCCCCCCCCATAAGAGTAAGGTAAAGGTAAAGGGACCCGTGACTATTAGGTCCAGTCGTGGCCGACTCTGCGGTTGCGGCGCTCATCTCGCTTTATTGGCTGAGGGAGCTGGCATACAGCTTCTGGGTCATGTGGCCAGCATGACTAAGCCGCTTCTGGCAAACCAAAGCCGTGCACAGAAAAACCGTTTACCTTCCTGCTGGAGCGGTACCTATTTATCTACTTGCACTTTGACGTGCTTTCGAACTGCTAGGTTGGCAGGAGCAGGGACCGAGCAACAGGAGCTCACCCCGTTGCAGGGATTCGAACTGCCGACCTTCTGATCGGCCAGTCCTAGGCTCTGTGGTTTAACCCACAGTGCCACCCACGTCCCCCTATAGGAGTACATTGGCTCAAAATAGGACATATACCCCTGATTTTTAATGGCTGGCTAGTTCACAAACTCCAACATGGACCCCCTTTTCTCTATACTCAGAAGAACCAGAAGGATGCTATGCTTCACTTCAGGGCATGTATACCCTTCTTCTGCCCTTTCTCACTTTGCTCTTAGCATGGGTCTGTGGCAAATGTCATGCTCACTCTCCCTTTAAGCTTTTTGATAAGTATTCTTTTTCCTCTTTAGATCAAGGTGTGTATGTACAGGTACGATTTCCTGCCCACTTATATTGCAACTTTGCTGTCTGAAAGCAGTACCCATATGCGCTGTCACTTTCACTTCAAGTAATAAATCAATCTTTCCTTGTTCTTCTTCCATATGTACTTCTGGTGGGCATAAGGTTAAGAGTAAGCACATACTTTTAAAGAGAGAAGGTAACCACTCACCCCCTCGGGACCAAGGATGAGTTGGGGAGGAGGCTCAGAAGCACTTTGTGTCCTTGGGTGTAATGTTGCCAAACCCTAGTCTAAATGGTTACTTCCAGCAGCTCTTGCAACTCACAAAAAGAAGAGAGAGATGGAAGTGTTTCGATGGAAGGGTAGAAGGGATTCCTTTGTTCAAGACTACAACACTGCCAGGCCTTATGTGGCGTGCTGCCAAAACTGTGAGCCTGCACCAATTATAGAAGTAAAACTGGCAATACAAAGTAGAATGGCCATTCCCGTGAACTGTTAATCTAGAGAAGAGGCACATGGAGAAAATGGTAACCGTCTGATGTGGGAATCACAGAATTTTTGTAGAGTTGGGACCCCCACCCCTGGGTCATCTTGTTCAAAGCAGGAATCACAGCTAAAGAATGCCTAACAGATGGCCATCCAACCTGTTTAAAAGTCTTTTTTGAAGTCAGGGAGATTGGCCTATCACCCTTCACTCCTTTCTAAAGGTACCCCTCTCCCACAAAACTAATGGCTGGGAAGGGTTTAAGCCACTTTGAAAACTTACCTCGGGCTTCAGCTTCAGATGCAGAATCTGTTATCTTAACCTCTAAAGCTTTAAGCAAAACCAAGCTTAGGGCTCTTAAGGTCACTTGAGCAGGACTGCAACAGATACCCACTTCTGGCTTCACCTGACTGCCTCCATAGTGGCTCGCCTTTTCACTAAGCGAAAAACGATTCAGCCACCCAGTAGCTACAAACTGCAGAACAGCACCAGCAAACACTAATCTGTCCTTGTCAAAATGCAGGTCGGGGTGGGAGAAAGAAGGCACCTTTCCCTTGATTAGGTCTTCGCCAGCCTTGTGAAGAATGCATTTCTTAAGCAGCACGATAGCTTTCTTCTTGATTAAATCATGAACGGGTGAAGTGACAAGACCCAACACGCATGAAACGTTCAAAAGCAACATCCTTTGACAGACAAGGTTCAGTGGTGCCTGAGTTCTGGAGGCCACAAGTAGTTCAAGGAGGTCCAGGAAGCTGCTCAAGTTATTTGTGGCTTTTGCAGATACTTGGGCAATCTCAGAATAAGAAGATGGGATGCGGTTGTAAAAGTCTTCAAGCACTTTGTCAAGAGAAGTAAGAATCTTCTGTAGCCCACCTATAATGACAGCATCAAGCAGTGTTTCAGTACCATCTCTAAGACAGTTTGGCTCATCTACTAAATTAAAGCAGCTTTGTAAAATCTTAAACTTCTAAATATTGATTTTTGCTCTAGACAGAAAAGCTCACAGTAAATATTTTCAGGCACACAAACTATTATAGTATATGCTGCCTTCTTCCCCTACAGGTTATTTACAAAGTAAACCTGGTTCAAACAATACCTCCTTTGCACAATCCTTCATCTTTTAAAATTTCTCTGATCACGTTTGTATGAGTCCACAGGCATTCCGCTACATGACTGCTCTTGGGAAACCCAGACAAAGCCTCTGAACAAAAAGCAAACCAGGGACTGTTCAGGGAACCCTGAAAAAAGAGAGAGAAAAAACAATTATCTATATTAGGGTTCAAGCAACTGGTAGGCCTGAAGAGGTGCAATCTGACCTCTTCTCCTACACCTGAGCATTTGGGAGCATGTGAATAGCCTTGAGACACCCAATATCCACAACTTGAATTCAGAACACAAAGACCAATGGTGGCTTCCACAATGGATAGTACGTTAAAAAAGGTAAAGGACCCCTGGATGGTTAAGTCCAGTCAAAGGCGACTGTGGGTTTGTGGTGCTCATTTCGCTTTCAGGCTGGGGGAGCCAGCATTTGTCCATGCACAGCTTTCCAGGTCATGTGGCCATCATGACTGAACCACTTCTGGCGCAATGGAACTCTGTGATGGAAACATCCCAGCTGCTGCCAACTTAGCTGTTCTAAAGCATGCCAGTGCAAGTAGATAAATAGGTACCGCTGCCGTGGGAAGGTAACGGATAGGCCATTCTGTAATAGGCTTGACGTTTTCACAGCAAAGAACACTGCATTCTCTGGGTCAAATTATGAAATACGAAGGCAATACTGAAGTGAATGGGAATTGCTCGGTCCTTTGGCAAGAGCTCAGCTATATCATTAGAAATATTCTGACTGCAGCTCTGTTTACTGTATCTATAGGACAATCAGCTGAAAGGTTTTAGCTTTCAGAAACTTTTGGCATGGATGCTGGTAGCTACTAAAACTTTCACTGCCTCCAAATGGACAGACAACCTTACAAGACTTTCATATAAAATGAGGATGCAGCGTTTAGCATTTGGGGGGGGGTGTACCTCATAAATTATGTGTTGCCAAAGGCTCAGGGGACTCTGAAAAACTCTTATGATGTTGGGTGGGACTTTATCTTAAATACAACAAATACAGATACACAGGACTCCCTCTCCACAGTACAACATAAAATTTGGCTTTCCTAATGGTCTTGGGCAAAAGATTCCTGCATTGCAGGGGGTTGGACTAGATGATCCTCATGGTCCCTTCCAACTCTATGATCTACCTGATACCCTTTCGTATCTCTCTCATTTTTATTGTGTTTGATTTTGATTTACTTCAATAAAAATCTTTTTGGGGGGGAACTGTAGAAAGTGGGTCTGTAGGGAACAGACAGATTTTGCGAGGAAGTTGTCACCCACTACTTAGCAGCTGCTGGGCTTAAGTTGAAGGTCTTGCATTTGGATAGTGGATCATGAGATACTGCAACCCTTAATGTACTGTGCAGACATTGTCTTGATCAGCCCCTTAAGTGTGGAAACACTTCTGAAGACGGAATAACAAATATTTAGCTTCTCTTATGTTATGAAGCCCTCTGCCTGATTATTTTGGTACTGCACTACCAAAAGAAAGCTAATACAGTAGGCTTGTGAAACAGCAGAGCAGGCTTCACCTGCGTCCGCCCTCTGGATGAAACGCTGAGGATACAAAAGTTGGCTGAACATGGGAGAGAATCTGCATCAGAACCCTGTGCATGCATACACAGAGCTCATGCTTAATAGGGGCCACGTGTGCTGCCACTATAGAATCACCAGAGTCAGTACCCATCACCCATAGCTCTCCTACAGAAATAGAATAATTAGCTTAGCCTTCTCTCTGACATGATAATTTTCTATGTGCATGGTATTGTTCATTTTTTAAAAAATAGACACAGAGAGAGAGAGAGAACGCAGGCAACAAATGAGACACAAGACATGCAGGTATGTCTGGGTATGCTGGTATTCTTTTAAGAAAATTGTAAAGGGAGTAGCAATCAATATTATTTTACTATATTCTGCATTTCTATACATAATATTCAATATATCTAATAGTAATTGAATCAAACACAGCACTAAAAGCACAATACAAAAATCTATACAGTGGTACCTTGGTTCTCAAATTTAATCCATTCCGGGAGTCCGGTCGACTCCTGGAATGGTTCAAAAACCAAGGCGCAGCTTCCAATTGGAAGCTGCAGAAGTCACGATGGACGTTCGACTTCCGAAGAACATTCACACACAGGAACACTGACTTCCAGGTTTTCAATATTCAGGAGCAGATTTCAACAACATTCAGGAGCACATTTCAACAACTAAGATGTTTAAATATCAAAGTTCCACTGTACTTCAAAGCAGCTATCCTACCCCCTGCCTACTGAAAGGAACAGTCTTAACTCTAGCAGGCTGTGGCAGAGGGAGAACTGGGAAGCAAGGCTACTTCACTAGCTCTTTGGAGACAGGACAGGCTCTTCCTTTCCTCATCTGTTATTGGCAGTGGCCAATGCCTTCAAGACAGGCTGCATTTATCTGTTCCTCTCCCTGAATTGTTTCAATTCAAGCTGGTCATTATAAAAAGTACAGTGCAGCTTTAACAACTGATGTCATTATTTCTGTTGTCTCCTTCCATAAACTTTCTCATTTTGTGTCATGTACCTAAGACAAGGAGTGAACAGAAGGTAGATCAGGATCTATTGGAAGATATTTGAGTGCTTTGCTATAGCAACGATTTCTGACTCCCAACAACAGCAGCAACAACAAATGACTTTTCCCACCTCAATTTGACTACTGAAATAAAGCCCAGAATAACCAAAAGCAGACTATTGTGTGGAAGGACTGCAAGTTCAGTTCAGATAGTGAAAACAAATTCCTAGGCTCAAAATATGGTCAGAAGGACCTTGTACTGTACTTTCAATGCTGGTGGTATTTTGTATCCAATTCTGGTTAGTGTATATTGGGGTTCTAGCAAAAACACAAAGTAGATCATCAATATATGAAGTCTGTCCACTTGTTCAACACTGTAAGCCTGAAGACAGAGGCAGTCTTGCTTTTATCTTATATAAGCCACTCAGAGTCTTTGCAACTGAAGAACAGAATAAAAGCTGTAAATAACAGTTAAGTAGAGAGGAAGCTCTCACCAACAAAGACATTCTACAATCTAGGCACTACCATGAAGAAAGCCCTTCTCTCTCTTGCCCCCGAAGACGCAAGTGTTTTGTCTGACCATGTTTTGAGTGACTGTTCTACCCTCACACCCCACAGTAAAGAAGCACAAAACCCCCCGATTAAACCAGCCTAGGATGATGGAGTAGCACTACAGAATCTGATTAGTTAAAAGAAGAAAAAGTGATTCATTTCTCAAACACCACCTTAAAAATGGCCCTGCTAAGTAAAGAAATATTGGCTGTTTAATCAATTAACAGCATTCTCCTATAAGTCTACTCAGAAGTAAGCCCCACTGAGTTCTATGTAGGTACACAGTTGCAGCCATTTACCCAACAGTAAGCCCCACTGAACTTAACAGAACATCCCATAATTCCCTCTGGTGTGCAAAAGAAAGCCTTTTCTAAGAAGATATCTGCCATCCACAGATTTTAAAGTACTTAAATAAAAAATAATGAACTTTAAAAACATTATGATTGATTTAAAAAGGATCCCCTAATTACTTGCACAGATTTTTAAATCACCTGATTGATGCAGCTGACTTAATTACACGCCTACTTCAAAAAACAAAGAGTGAAGCAGAAAGCTGTTTTAGTGGGAACTAGCCCAAAGCCCACTTTGCAACTCACCTCTTCTGTTAGTTGAAAACGCACAAGGAAGACCAAAGCTTTGGAAGCCTGATAAGATAGTTGTTTATCAGAAATAAGTAACAGATGAATCTGCAATAAGTGGAAAAGGGAGGAATTGTAGATAAGGAATATCTTAGCAACGGAGCTATTTGGGGATGGGGGGTGGAGAATCACCCAAAAACTTACTAATTTTGAGTCTATGTTGGCTTCTTTCAGAAGAATTCTAATAATCTCTACATATTTCTGTTTTGATTCAACTGCCACCCCTTGGGATTGCATTTTGGATAGCATCATCTTGATCAAGGTTAACTGAAGCAGCATAATTTCTCGTGAATGGCATGTTGAACGAATCACACTTTCAGATGTGTCCGGCTCATCATCTGTCTTGAGAGCTGTAAACGCTGGATCAGAAGACTTCCGAGCACCAGTGTTAGGAGAAAACAGACTCATTGCCCATGATTTTCTATTTGTTGATGACAAGTGTTGCAGTGATATAGAAGGATTTAGAAGAGCTGCACAACTATGACTATCTTTCAGAAATAAGGCATCTACCAGCATATCATCATACATTTGCTGGAGAGAGTCCCCATTGTGGGAAAATTTGGTATTTTCAGTCATTCTTTGCACATTCACATTGCAGAGATCTGAGTTGCTTCTCCAATAAGCAGGAAAAGTTCATCATTTCATGCAGCTTTTTCTCTGGTGTATCTAGAATTAAAGGCAATAATGAATATCATCATCAGCAGGAAATTGTAAAATCAGCAAGAAGACCAAACAGTATAGATTAGTTCTATCTGACGGGAAGTAAGTACTTTTGGAAACAGTGCAATCTTATGCATATCTATGGGGGACGTAAAGCATATCAGAACTATGAATATTGAACTCCTTTAAAGAAAGGTGGGATATAACAATAAAAATAGATATTGTAGCCCAACAGTGCAGTTCTTTACAAGTCTATTCAGAAGCAGACACTAATGAGGTCACCCTCCTAGAAAAGTATGTATAAGATCGCAGTCTAAATCTACTATTGCATACATTTTATCAAGAAAGCACATGGCTTTGGCAAATAAAACATTTCAGCCAAACAAATACACATTTCAGCTAAACAAACACACATTTCAGAACTATGTTTATTTCTGAAAACTCACCCATACCTGAGACCATTAAGAGAAGTAAGGATGCAACCTACTAGGTTAATCAACCTAGGTTGTTTCTTAGGTTAATTATTACTGTGATTGGCACAATGCTGTTGTAATAGGAAGCGTTTTGAAATCTTTAGAGTGCTATATAATAAATGCTACAAATATTAAGTAATATAAAGCACAAGAACTTTTTTGCATCCTACTCCTTCCCTCATATGCCTCATCTTAAAACTTATCAATATACCCATCTCTTCCTGGTAGTCCTTCCTTGAAACCTGATACATTTACAGAGCACAATGAGGTGGTAGGATCCTGAAGTGGCTGAGTGGACTTTTGTACACTGCGTATATTACAAAAACCAAAATCTGAAGTCCAGCACCAGCACAGGATGAACAGAACTGCACACAGGATGGAGTTGATGACAGATAACAGCTCCGTCTGTGATGTGCTAGTGGTTGGTGAGGGATAATTCCATTTTTATTTTTTTAACTAGGACAGTTCATTAAGAATGTAAGAGTCCTGCTGGATCAAACCGAAGGCTCATTTAGCCTTCCACCTGGCTATTTTTCTGACTGGAAATTGTTTTTTTTGGGGGGGGGTTAAATTGATATACAGTGGTACATCAGGTTAAGTTCTTAATTCGTTTCGGAGGGCCGTTCTTAACCTGAAACTGTTCTTAACCTGAAGCACCACTTTAGCTAATGGGGCCTCCTGCCACTGCCGTCGGAGCACAATTTCTGTTCTCATCCTGAAGCAAAGTTCTTAACCCGAGGTACTATTTCTGGGTTAGCGCAGTCTGCAACCTGAAGCGTATGTAACCTGAAACGTATGTAACCCAAGGTACCGCTGTATAGTGTTTTGTTGGAAGCCGCCCAGAGTGGCTGGGGAAACCCAGCCAGATGGGCGGGGTATACATAATAAATTATTATTATTAAATTATTGCAACCATGTAGCTATATTGCAATCAGTCACTGCCTCTCAGCCTAACCTACCTCACAGGGTTGTTGTGGGGATTAAAGAAGGAGACAAGCAGAGGCACAACTTGAGCTCCTTGGGCGGAGGGGGGTGGGAGGTGGGAAATAAATGCAACATAACATTAGTGATTAGTCCACCATCTTGTTGACTCTTTGGAAGCCCACAAGCAGAGCCAAAACATAACAACTCCGCTCCTGTTCGCGTTCCCCAGCAGCCGGTTTTCTGAAGGACGCTGCCTCCCATAATAAAGGAAGCCTCCCACCCCCCAGTGTGGTACAGTCCACTCAACCCCTTCAAGGCTCTACCATCGCGTCCCGAAAGCGAAAAGCCTCCCCCCCCCCGCAAGGCCCTCCAACAGCATCACTACAACGAACGCCCGTGCGTTGCTAGGCAACCCACCCCAGCTTCTAGGCCTAGCCATCCGAAGCAGCGCTAAGACCTCCTTATCGAAAAGTCCGAGCGACCCGCCTTCCCCGTCGCAAAAACAACAACCCTGGTTCGCGCTTTCCGGCACTGAGGGAGATAAGGAAGGCTCCGCCCCGCTCTTTCTCTTAGCGAACCGTAGGACATATAGATCTTTTAATTTTCAAAATTATAGAGTGACACCAACACCCGGAACTTCCGGTGGGAGCCTATAGAGATAAGAAAAGTTGAGAGTGAATTCGCGCAGCATGAACTTTAGGAATTAAACGGAAAGCTGCTACCGGCCATCGCTTTCTATGTGGGGAGCTCGGGGGGCAGCGCCGCTCTCCCACTCCCTATCTGGACGAAAAGCCCTTTTTCTACACCCGGCGTTAGCAGGCGAGACAACAACAAAAAGTTACTGCCATGATTCCGGAAGTGCCGAAAGGGAGTGCAGCGGAGGGAGTGGGTGGGGGGACAGAGAGGAAGAGAGCGAGAGCGAGTGGGGGGGGGAGGGAGGGAGGGAACGGGGATGTGGGAGGGGAGGAGCGCTCGGAACCCCCGCACGGCCCAATCGGGAGAGGCGGTGGGCTGCGGCGCGAGGCGGAGGGGAGCCGAGCGAGGCCGCTGATTGGCTGGGCGCCGGGGTCAGCCCCTGCCCGATGACCCCGGAGTGAGGAGAGGAGGTGGCTCCTCCTCAGTCAGTCAGTCGGTCGGTGCAAAGTGAGTCCCCCTCCGCAGCCGCTTCTCTTCTTCGCCCTCCCAGCCGTGCCTACGGCTCCCTTCTCCTCCTCGAGTACGCAAGCCCTTTCCCTCCCCCTTGCCCCGCCAGCGAGGGGGCGAAGTGGCCGCGGGCTGGCGGCTGGGCCGGGCCCAAGAGTGACTGAAAAAGAAAGAGAGAGAGAGAGAGAGAGACGGAAAGACAGACAGGTAACGGCCGGCGAGGAGGGAGGGGCTTAGCGGCCCCCTCCCCCAATAGCACGGGCTGGGGGAGAGGAGAGGTGGTAGCAGCAGCAGCAGCTGTTGTTATTATTATTGGGTGAGCCTCACCTGGGATGGTGGAGGAGGGGCAGGGATAGGATAGGGATAGGATATCTGCCTTGGCTCCTTGCTTGCAAGCTAAAGAGGGGCCTGCTCCGCTAGAGGTTTGGTGGGGTGCTTAGCCCCTTCGCCGTATCAGGAGGGGTGGCTAGGTTTACCCAGTTTACCTTTGCAACTGCTATTTCTCTACTTATTTATTTCAGTAAACGCTCCTTAACCTAGCTTTGGAAGCAAGCTTTATGGCTGTAGTTGTTTTGTTTTTTGTAATTGTGTTTGTTTGTTTTTAACTCTTATAACCTATCCTGGGACCTCTGGCTGACAGACAGGTAAGAAGGCTACTAAAAAAAATGTAGACCGTGCAGGGAAAGGCTGGTAAGAAACTGGAAAAAAATAAATGGCTATAAAAGTTAATAGCCTGAGGGTGAAAAAAATGCTAGAACCCTGCTGGGGTCTGGAGAGGGTGAGGCAGAGAGAGTGTTTTGTTTCTCCTGTAGTAGTTTGCTGCATTTTTGTGCTGAGGAGGGGGCTTCTCTTCCCTGATTTTTCTTTGGCTTCTGTGCTAGTTGTCTTCTGCTTGTAGTTCATCCTGGCCATAGATATTGAGCTAGTGTTTCAGTACAACCTAAAGAAACAACTTACCATTGTTTATTATCCTGTAATTGTTACTTGGCTGCTTTATTGTATCCACATAAATAACTTAATTATTTTATAATAGCGTCTGAAAGTGATATCCCTCCCCCTGCCAAAGTGAAAGACTCATAGTGTTGGATGGTACATTAAAGGTCATTTAATCCAACCTCTGCCAGTGCAGGACATCTGTTGCTACAGCATCCCCCAAATGTGGCAATCTAGCCTCTGATTAAAAAGCTCTAATGCTGAAGTGCCTATCACATTCGGAAGTACAGTAGTCTTTCACTGTTCAACAGCTTGCGCTACCAGGAAGCTTTTACTGATGTTTAGTTTCAATTTCTGTACATGTCTACTTAGAAGTTCATTCCATTGAGTTCAGTGGGGCTTACTTTCTAATGATGTGGTTAAGATTGTAGTGCTAGGTTGTGTGTTGATGGGGAGGTATGAAATGTGGCCACTTATTTGTCAGAGGCAAATTGGAAGCTTGGGAACATAGTTGGAGATTATAGGAATAGATTCAGAAGGAATAAATGTGACTCATTTGAAGAATTTGAAAGAGGATGGGGTGGGTTAGTTGTGTTAATAAGAGTTCTGTTAGGGCAGGTGGAGTTTGCTTTCTAACAGCATCTGACTGACCACGGGTTTCCTATCTCTGGGAGAAGGGAAGCAGGTAAATCAAGATGAGTTGATCTGGGTGGGAAGGGTATGTGGGGAGGAATGAGGTGACCTATATTGTCACCTCTGCTCAAGTTCCACCCCTTCTCTGGCATGAAGGAATTGAGAAGTAATGGTGAGTTCTTTTCTTTAGATTAAAAACTATGTGTTTAGAATGAGAAGCCTTTTCTGAGTACCTCAGAGATTTGGGATTTTTGTCCCCTTCCACACATCTCATGGCAATGTAGAGATTGCAGTAAAGCAGCTCAGCAGTTTAAAACAGTAAAGAAAAGAGCAGCAGATAAAACAGCTATACCAGCTAGACACTTATAGGATATACATATTCACATAGCTGGAAAGGCATGTTTACAGTTGTTTCTGGAAAGCGCAGGTAGTGGGCATCTGTCATATATTGAAAGGAATGCTTTTCCATAGAACCACACTGCTCCCTGCTCCAAATTACTGTGGAGTGGGCTTCTGAAATCTTTGGACGTTGTAGGAGAAACTCCCCTGCAGATCGCAGTGATCATATGTGGGATATGGAAGAAGTTGATTCTGCATAGCAGATCAACACATCTACCCCCATTACCCACTTTCTCCATGTTCCGAGTGGACACGTGGCCTTTTATAGCACTCTTCTTAGTGTGTGTGTGTGTGTGGGGGGGGAGTTAATATACTGACATCCAAGTATATGGCAATTTACAGAGTGATGTAGAAGATGGGTTCCTCTTTCAAGGAGCTTACACTCTAAATTGTGATGTGGGGAGAGGAGAAGAGAGAAGGACAAAAGAGGAAGACATAAGGCATGAAATGGAGATATTCTTCTAGATCTTTAAATATAATGTTCAGCTCATATAGGAGATCATAGAAATAGATTTTTTAAAACTAAAATATTTAATAAATGCTATTATGACACAGCAAATTAACAGTAGCAGTGAATTTCCAAGGTGTGAAAGCTCCACAGCAAGTATGCTAGTCTTAAAGGAGTGATTTTCAAATTGTAGAGCAGGCTGCTCTGAGGGAGGTGCAGGGCACAGAACACCTGAAATTTTGGAGGAGTTTCAGGACAGGATGCTGAAAAGCTAGGGTTTTCCTTCCCTCACTAGCCAGGATCTGGGTGAGTTTGAATGCTCTCTGGTGGAGCATCCACATTTGATATATTGGAGGGTTGTGTATGACTGTATTCCCAGTGCCACATTATACTAACATGATTTGGGAATAAGGGAGCTCTGCTATAGCTGCTGCTTTGTTGTAAGGCTTCTTCTTCTGGAGGGGGGAATTGGTGGAAATGTTGTAACTGATTCCCCTTTTTAAGACCAGTATACAATTAGGACCACCGTCTCTAGATTTCCACAGGCAGCATGTGAGCAAGAATCTCCACACACTCACCCATAAGACAGTTTATTGGGGGAGAGCCATAAGGTTGGGTAGGGGAAGGGCTGTAGCTCAGCAGCAGAGCACCTGCTTTTTATATAGAAGGTCCCGGATCCAATCCCTGGCATCTCTAGGTAGGGCTGAGGGAGTCCCAAACACATTGCTGGTTTCAAATATGAAAAGTGTATATGGGTATCTCAGGTTTGTCGTACATACTCTGTAATTGAAGGATATACTGCATGTATGCGAAAGCAGCAAGCAGATGCAGAAGTAACTTGCACATACTCTTCCATGTAGCTCTAAGACTACTGAAGCATAACAGCAATGTGTTGGAATCATAAATCTTTATTTCTGAAGCTTATTATTTTGGCCATCTGTTTTACATTTTTGACATGATCCTAGGTGGTTGTTTATAGCACACTCTTATATGTATATGCTCTGAAGTAAGTTCCATTGAGTTAAATGGGGCTTGCTTCCAGCTAGGCTGTTATAGGATTGCAGCCATAGTCTTTTAAAACTATCACAGGGAAGTCTTCTATAGCCTGGCCCACTGGTTTTCAACCAGTGTGCTATGGCACCCTGGTGTGCCTTGAATGATGGTCAGGGGTGCCACGGGCAACAGTAGCCTCTGTCCCTCTTTCCTTCCCTCGCTCCTCTGTTGCCTTCTCGCATCTCTGCCTCACAAAGGCTTGCATAGTTGTTTATTGCAGCAGCCCTGGCTATAAGCTGTATAGCCCTGGCTATACAAGCGAATGGTGCCTCTGGGAGGCACCTCTTTTGGAGGTGGGGGGCAGCTCAGAGACCAGGAATGGCAACAGCAGCTGCCTGGAGGACTTTCGAAGGGAGAGGAGAGGAAACTGAGGGAACACTCCACAAGGGAGGGTGTTCGAAAAAGGGTGAGAGGCTGCCAGCTCTGGAGGCAAGTGGTGCTCCTGAGCCCCACAGGGGTGTCACAGAAAGAATGTGGAGCTGTGGACTCAAAAAGGTTGAAAACCTCTGGCCTAGCCATTTCAGAGTTAAGCGTTTTCCCCCTTTTTAATCTTGCAGGATCTACTTAATATTGTTAATTGGCCTGTACAACTTTGGTTTTGACTTTGCCCACAGAATTTCATGATATAGTACAACCTAGGGATAGTTACCATCTCTCAGCCTAACCTTCCTCACAGGGATTATTTACTATTTATTTATTTATTTATTTCCTCCCCTTCATCCAAAGGTCCGAGATTAAAAATATAGAGTCCAATTTTTATTTATTTTAATTTTTTTAAATTGAAACAGCATAAAACAAAATACAGAGTTTTGTTGTGAGAAGAAATTGGGGTTGGGGAGGGAGACCAATAAACTGCCCTGCACTCCTTTGATGGAAGGGTAGAGTAAAATGTAATAAAACAAGTGTAGAGTAAGGAATGAACTTGTACCAGCTGCAACCCTGGTTCTTCTTGTCATTCCAGGCTCATGCCGCTGCAGAATAAATTCGCAGATTTTGAATCCAAAACAAAAGTCAAGAGGCAAAGATGTAATGGAAGAATCCAGTATCCAGGTGACAAACTTCAACCCTGTTTTTTATGCTTTCACACTATTTTGTGAGTGTTGTTACTCAGATTCTTGGTTTGCTGACAGTGGATTGTAACTGTTGGCTGATGTCTTACATACCTTCCACTGTGATAAAATGATCAAAATGTTGAGAAATGCAAGTGGCATAGTTGTTTTCTCTTTGTATTTTGGCTCGTTACCCTGGAAAATTTGGATGGCCTTCTAGAATTAGCTGTTCTAAATTTTACATAGCATGTATTGTGTGCAATATAGGCAATTATTGAAGACTGATTCCATGCATGTTTCCTTCAAAAGAAGCTCCATTGTATTCCAATAGTATTGTGGCCTTCATGTAAAAAGGTCTCCATTTTGGATATTTTTTGCTTATACAAGTAATAAACTTATTGTTGTACAAGTTAGATTTCAAAGTGAAGAGAAGGCAGTGCAACTAGAACCAAGTAAACTCATAACTGTGGATTAACTTCTAGCTTGATCTGTGCTTTTCTGAGCATCTACTGTGTATGCTAAGATATGGCAAAACCTTGGGCCTGCATGGTCCATCTTGCACTGCCTTTTTGGTGGACTGCAATTAAACCAGAAAGTCTTCAGCCCATTTCTTGTGGGGGCAAGAATCATGTGTATCTTCACTTATTAAGCTGAGATTTTTGTCTGAACCATGGCATTTTGTGCATATCCCTGGAAATTGGATATCCTCTGTGACTGATGTATGTTTATAATCAAAAATGTCTTGATGAGATTGGGCTCTATTGATACTCTAGCAGTGAAAGAGTCAAATGTTGTTTTTGTTAATGAGGCTCAGTGTGTTTTACGGGGGCTTTTTAGTATTGCAGGAATTTGAAGATATGTCACCAGCGAAAGATTTGCAAAGTAAACAACAAAAGGTGGAATATATTGGCCTTAAGTGTTTTATCTTACTTTGATTGAAATTCATCTTATGTTAAATATTTACATTTATCTGAAGGCTAAAGTATATTCAAATGTTTGTGCTATTTTATCTTGTTTCCTGCTTGGCAGGGGGTTGGACTCGATGGCCCTTGTGGTCTCTTCCAACTCTATGATTCTATGATTCTATATTGCAATGCTCTTATGGAGTCTTTGTGATCTTGAGGAGTTTTTTTGCACTTGTTTAAATTGCAATCGTATTATAAAACAATGAGCATAGAAAATTATAGATGACATTTTATATACAAATAAGATAAAATCTGGATAGTTGAACTGGATCATCCTGTCCACAGTCTAAAGGTCCTGTTTACTAATGTCAAAAGGGACTTCCCTAGATTTTGGATCAAAGTAACATGTGGGGAAGGAAACAGTTCACAGGGAATCTAGATCTGGTTCATACACTTATTTAACATTAACAAGTCTAAATTGGAATTCAAATCTTAATTTATATGCACACCAATAATAGGCCTAGTGCTTTATAATCATTAACTCATTTACTCAGTGTTCCACTGAGGTGGGACATTGAGTCCCATTTTACAGTTGGCTAGTTGATGTTTAGCTGGAGTGACTTGCATAGGACCACCAGAAATGAAACATCAGTAAAGCAGCATTGAATACCATTTTTCTAGATCCAAGTCAAATCCTGTTCTGAATAAGTGCCAGATGCACTAATGTGCCATTGAAGCTCATTGCAATCTGTTGACTGACTCCTGCAAGTATAGGAGTGAGCCTTGAAATGAGAAAGAAGGTCAGAGGAGTGTTGTACATTGTCTATATATGTTGACAGTTATAATCCTGAGAAAGGAACTGAGTCTCTGATCCTATGACCTGTGCATAAAAAGGCCATGTGGGTATACAAGCCATTATTATTATTATTATTATTATTATTATTATTATTATTATTATTCTGTACCATCCTTTATACAAAGTTTACAGGGTGGTTTACAATGTAAAACACAAAAATACACGCCATCATAACAAACAGAAACAAAAGCCCCACAGTTGGAAAGGCATAGATTGTTTAATTAGCCAAAGTTCTTGGAAGAAGAGGAATGTTTTTGCCTGGTGCAAGCCTTCCTGGGGAGAGCATTCCACAAGAAGGGAGCCACTGCAGAAAAGGCCCGTTCTTGTGTTGCCACCCTCCGGACCTCTTGCAGAGGAGGCACACGAGGAAGGGCCTCAGATGGCGATCACAGCATCCAGGTTAGTTTTTATGCATATAGGTGGGCCTTGAGTTATTGAAGGCTCCCACCCCTAACTTGAACAGTCGCTCCAGAAGGATACCATGCTTGATAGTATTGAAAGCAACTCAGAGGTTGAGACAGAGATCATCATCCAGGGAACCAAAGTAGTTTCCTATTCCGTAACCTTACTTTAGGACCCCAAACCAGGCCTAAACTGGTAGTGGCATTTCTATTCCGTAACCATAACTTATTACTTGTGGAATACAGAGGTTTCACAGGAGGGGAATTATTTCTTACCCAGAAATCTTTAGAAAGAGTGTTGGGTGTATTTCTGTAGACTATAGTGAGGGGGCATCATTCACCTGCCATCTTCACCCTTCTTCTTTAGGGTTTTAATGCTTGTACATCTATTTGCCTACTAGAAAAAAGATGGGATGCTGATGCGCCAGTGTGTGTTACTGTCTCTTCTTCCTTCTCTTTGTCCACCCAGCATTTTTCCTCCATCTTGTTCTACCCTGCCAAGTTACATGTCTTAAATTAAGCATCTTTTTTCAAACTGCTTCCGTTATTTCACCCTGTTTTAGACACCCTGGTGTTAAGATGCATGAAATCTATGTGACATTTGAGAGTCAATGAACAATTTTTATTTTTGCTTGCTTTGATCTAACAAGACTATGTTCTTCATTTCAAGGAAAGCAGTTTGCTTGACACATTATACCTGCCAACAAGGTTATGTATAATGAAGATGGGAAATGCAACTAACCTCTGCTTATAAGGTAACTATTTTTTTAATTGAACACTTGAAACTTTGATTTGTTTTAGAAAAGGTTAAAATGCCTCTTTCTTAGGGTAGTAACAGTGGAGGACATCCAGGATTTACTCATTCAGTGCTATCTTCAGTGATAGCATTAGGGATAAATGTCCGAGGCAAATAACAATAAATGAAAGTTTCATTGCAATTTCCCCCCTCCCTGGCTCGATTTGTATTATAAAACATGTTATAGTTACCCAGCCACAGAAAAACAGTTTTTATGAAAGAGAAAAAACTACTTCAGATACCGGATATTAAATGCCAAATACTAAATACCGAACTTTGTCAGCAGCCAGTGTGGCTACCCTAGTTGTTGCTACTCAAAATATCGTTGCTACTCAAAATATGAACATCCAGGCAAATTTGAAAGAATGTTTAAGAACTGCAAAGCAACTTTAAGGATTGCAAAGCAATTTTAGTTATGGTTTTCTATGTATGTATAAGTGTTTCTGAAACCTATTTTTTAAACCAGTGTAGTTTTTGAACAGTAATAGTTTTCTACTGGTTCTTTGGTTAAAGTTGGAAGCAAACCATCCTCTACACTTGCACAAATCTAAGTCGGAGGAAGAAAAGCTGTTGGTTCACTTGTATAATGCAAAAGAGTTTTTTTTAATGCATACATAGTCCATTTGAATTGCAGTGTAGCTAATTCCACTGCTCCTGAGGAACATGTAGATAATTCTGCATGACATTTTATTAGAAATAGTTGTGTCCATTGATACTTAGGAAAGGGCCAATGAGGGGCCTAAATGGCACAGCCAGATCACCCTCACAGTCTTAAACATGTAGGTATAAAAGGGCAAGTGTCTAGGCTTGGTGAAATAAAAAAATCAAGGTTACGATTTTTGGAAAGAAATATCAGAAACTGAGGGGCAATGGATGAACAACTGATTGACCAATGGCATGAATTTAAATATCCAGGAATTCATTTGGAATGTAATAAAATGTTAAGCTTCTAAAACCTTGAGTACCCTTAAATTTTATTATGTGAAAGTTGACTTTATAATTGATCCTTCAGCCTTCTCAAATGGCTATTTTGGGGGTACAGTGGGGTAGTGGGGACTGAAAAGCCCTAGCACATGGGTGTGTGTGTGTGCAGCTTTGTGGATCCTGTCCCGTTTATCCATGTTGCTATGGAGTGTTATTGGCACTCTCCCTCTCTCCAATTCTGATTTGTGTTTACTGTGTTTCAGTTGCAGGTGACCTGTGAGACCTCATGATCCTTCTTTAGGAGGCAGATTCTGCGAGGATGTTACATCACCACTGCCGGAGGAACCCCGAACTACAGGAAGAATTGCAGATTCAGGCTGCGGTGGCTGCTGGAGATGTTCACACTGTGCGCAAGATGCTAGAGCAGGGCTATTCTCCAAATGGTCGAGATGCCAATGGCTGGACCTTGCTCCATTTCTCAGCAGCAAGAGGAAAAGAAAGATGTGTCCGTGTATTCCTCGAACATGGAGGTTGGTTGACTTAAATGAGGTGGGGGTGAAATTTGACCAAGCATCAAGGATTTTATCCATTGCACCTTCACTTTAAACTCTTGTTGGTTGGTTGGTTGATTGATTGGTTGGTTGGTTGGTTTATGGCAGTGGCCACATTCAGATGACCACATCTCTGCTTAGTAAGTCAAGATATGTGCAAACTTCATGAACCTTGCTTCCCACTTGGTGTGAGTATGCAAACCAGATGGGAAATGGCAGCTTGTCTTCCAGTCATGCCTGAATCTGGAAACCGTCACTTGAAAGTTAGCCTCCAGATCTTGACTTGACTGAAAGCAATTAACCATAGTTCCTGGTTGGGCGTAATGGGAAGCTATTGTTAACTGCCGCTTCCTGGCTTGTTCGCTGGAGGGAGAAATGAAGGAACTGCATACCTGTATGAAGCTCACTCATGTTGAGCATAGGTTTTTATCATCTGAATGTGGCTCTTTTTGCATTTGGCTTCACAAAATGATCAGGTAAGCTGGGTAGGACTTAATTTATGTATTTTTAATTTTCTGTAGTTTAAATCTAATAGTGAATTAAAAAATAAAAAAGTGAGTAGGCAAACTATGGAATTGCAAAATGCACCACAAGGGGGCTCCCCTCTGTTATGTATTTTGAATACTGTACATACCAGAGAAATAACAGGTTGCTAGGATGCTCAAGGAATCCATTCACTTTGCATCTAGGCTATGTTAGTTTTCTCTTGTTAAGTTATTTATTTATTAAATTTATATGTTGCTCTTTATCTGAGGAGCAGAAGGCGGGTTACAATATAAAAAACACAAAAATATATAATAACAAACAGAACAACACCCCCCCCCCCCAGTTTAAAAGGCAATAGATTGTTTAATAGCCAAAGTTTGCCTGGGAGAAGAGGAATGTTTTCAACTGGCACCTGATATGTAATGAAGGCACCAGATGAGCCTCTTTGGGGAGAGTGTTCCACAAATAGAGAGTCACCATCGAAAAGGCCTGTTCTCTAGTTGCCACCTTCTGGACTTCTCATGGATGTGGCAAAGGAAGAAGGGCACCTCAGATGATGATCACAGGATCTGGGTTGGTTCATGTGAAAAGAGGCGATCCTTGAAGTATTGCATTCCCGAGCCATTTAAGGCTTTGCAGGTCAAAAACAACACTTTGAATTGAGCCTGGAAACTAATTGGCAATCAGTGCAATCAGGCCAGTACAGTGGTACCTCAGGTTACATACGCTTCAGATTACAGACTCCGCTTACCCAGAAATAGTACCTCGGGTTAAGAACTTTGCTTCAGGGTGAGAACAGAAATTGTGCTCCGGCGGCATGGCGGCAGCGGGAGACCCCATTAGCTAAAGTGGTGCTTCAGGTTAAAGAACAGTTTCAGGTTAAGAACGGACCTCTGGAATGAATTAACTACTTAACCCGAGATACCACTATATTGGTGTTACATTCTCAAACCACCTTTCCCTGGTGAGCAACCTGGCACTGAATTCTGCACTAGCTGAAGTTTCTGAAACACCTGGAGAGGCAGCCCACATGTATAACATGTTGCAGTACCCTAGAGGTTACCAGAGCATAGACAACAGAAGTTAGGGGTTCAGCTAGGCCACCAGCCAAAGCTGATGGAAGGCACTCTGCACCACAGAAGCCGACTGTGCCTCAAGCGACAGCAATAGATCCGGTAGTATTCTCAAGCAGTATACCAACTCCTTCAGAGGGAGTGTAATGCCCTCAAGAGCAGGCAACCTCCCATCTATCCAATCTAGGAAACCACCCATTAACTGCCTTAGTCTTACCTCAATTGAGCTTCAGTTTATTGGCTCTCATCCAGTCCAAGACACCTGCAGATGTAAGGGAGAAGTAGAGCTGTGTGTCATCAGCATATCGCTGACATTGTACTGCAGAATTCTGTATGACCCCACTCAGCTGTTTCATGTAGGTGTTAAGTAGAATGTGGGATAAAATTTAATTCTGAGGAACCCCACATTGAAGGCTCCATGGGGCTGAAGAGCATTCCTCAAGTATCACCCTTGGGGAAATAAACATCCAAGAAGGAACAGAACCACAGCAAAGCAGTGCTTTGAAACTTTTGTGTAAGCCAACTATCAAATGTAGATGATGATACTGTGGTACCTCGGTTGTCGAACATAATCCATTCCAGAAGACTGTTCAACTTCCGAAATGTTCTACAACCAAGGCACAATGGGCGATTGGCAAATTCCATTGAGAAAATGGAGAAACACGCCTCGGAAGCCGTTCAGCTTCCAAGGCGCATTAAAAAACGAAAGCATTCACTTACAGGTTTTCGGCGTTCGGCTTCCAAATCGTTCGGCTTCCGAGACGCTCGAAAACCAAGGTTCCACTGTAGCAATGTTTAAGAGGTGTTCTGTTTTTGTGTCTTTGGTTTCTTTGAACTGGTAACATACGGTAGTTTTTCTAAGCAGCTTCGGAGCCCAGCCATCATTGCAAATGTTCAAAGGGAGCTCCTGGGAGTGAAAAGATCTGATTTGGACCCATGAGAGCACCCATCTCTCTTCTCCACCCCACCCCCACTGGTACAGTGTCCCTGGGAGGCTCGGTGTATATTTCCACATCATTTCTATAGTCATTTGCAGCCCTATTTGAACATAGTCACAGTAGCAGCTGGTCTTGGAAGCTCCTTGGGAGTGCCTATTTTACCAGTTTAAAGTTTGTCTTTTTAAAAGCAGCCTTCAGCCTATGTAGTAAAACATAAGTACCATTCTAAATGTGATTCTAGTACAGACATTTTATTTTTGCTTCAAAACTTGTAAATAGTAAACAAAGAACCTGGGAATTAACAATGTGAAAGTGACACAGACTGACCATCCCTAGTTAAGGGCAGTTCTCCAGAACTCTGTACTACAGGGATTGAACAAAAGAAATTGTGTGTATTACGGTTAAACCAGGGGTTGTGTTCGCACTTGGGGGGCGGGGAGCAAAGAGAGAGCTATTTGTGCATTAATGGGAAGCCACAGTTCAGAGGTTGCTAAAATGTGGCCCTTCATAAGTTGCCAGACTACAGCTCCTGCATTCCTGAGAATTGGCTATGCTTGCAGGAACTGATGGAAGTTTGGAGCCCAATATCATCTAGAGCAGTGTTTCTCAACCTTCGGCCACCAGCTGTTTTTGAACTACAACTCCCATCATCCCTGACCACTGGTCCTGCTAGCTAGGGATGATGGGAGTTGTAGTCCAAACCAGCTGGAGGCCCAAGGTTGAGAAACACTGATCTAGAGGGCCACAGGTTCCCCAACCCTGCCATAGTTAATGGTTTCCAGGAAAGTATGAACATGGCCGCTGTGCATAAAGTGAATTGGAGCCTATGTGCTAGAATGTAAAATTGGTGAATTCAAGATAAGATGACAGAAAGACTGGAATTTAATGAAAGGGAAACTCTGAGAACTTTTGTGTGGCCTCTTACTGGGGAAATTTTTCTGGAGGCAAGAACTTATGGAACAAACGGATCCAAGTGAATCATGTTTTGCCAAAATCCAACAAAGCTTTGTATGCCACATAAGTACCCCTTCATGTGTCTAATATACATAAATTTACTAGAGGCTGAGGTTTTACTATGGGAATGATTTTGAACACTCAAGGAAAGCATGATTATGTATTTTTCAGTTCTCCTCATGTAGCTCCCACCTTCTGTTGACAGTAGTGTGTTTATTGTAGACTCTTCTGTATTATCTTACATTGCTCCAGTAGAGTAGATTCCTCTTGCTTACCGTACGCTATATTTGTAAGAAAAAGAAAGATACCTTTGTGTTGCAAGAAATAGTTCTCATGCTTTATCATTGTATCTCTTAGATCTTGTACATGTATGTCTGAGTGCATGTGCTGCATAAACACGAAGCCCATTTCTTCTAGATGGTGCTAACATGGAACTGAGCATTTAATGAGGGGGTCGATTTGTGCCATGAAATGTACTACTAGTTAATTAGGAGAATAGCACAGAAATAGCCTATTGCTGCTTTAAAGCAGAGCTTATAAATCAGGCTTCCTCAAACTCGGCCCTCCAGATGGTTTTGGCCTTCAACTCCCATGATCCCTAGCTAGCAGGACCAGTGGTTAGGGATGATGGGAATTGTAGTCTCAAAACATCTGGAGGGCTGAGTTTGAGAAAGCCTGTTATAAATGATCAAAATGCATAAAGAGTTGGCAAGTTTTAGCTTAAACTTCAAGTATTGCAAATTGTATGATCTTTTAAGGTCCAGTAGAATGAATTATGACCTTTTTTATCCTTCCTGTGGTAAGTAAGTGTGGCCAGAAGATGGCAGTACAAGTGTTTGCAAAACCGATTTAGAACTGCAGTGAATTTACTCCCAAAAATTACTGTGTGAGTCTTGATGTCTGATAATCTCCACCTGTTCCCTAGTTATGCAAATATTCATCAGAATATTTGATAGCTTCGATATCCAATGATTTTTTTTTATTTCACTATTTGATATCTGCCAGTTTATATTAGCTATATTTGATAGTTCCTAAAAAGTATTTGACATTAGCCATACTTTGATAGCTGGTAGGCAGTAGTATGTTAAAGTGGTTTTCAGACTTTATGAAGGGAATACTGTAGACAGTGATATCTGTGATACAGCTCCTGGACTTTACAGAGCATTTTGTAGCATGTTCTAAGGTGGTTGCTTAGTTCACACAGGGCAATGCTAAGCTGCCTTATTCCCCCTTGGCTACACATTGCAGAGGAAAGATCAGTAGTGGTGGGCAAACTGTCTTCCAGCAAAAGTTTCAAAATCACTGTACTCATAACAGTGTGCTGACGATGAGCATGCAGTAATATTTAATATTAGATTTTGAAAAGCTGACATGTAATTTATATTTTTAACCATATAACTTTTGATCGATAACATGAAATGTTGTTTGATAGATGGTGGGGTGGGGGTAGGCTTCATTGAAGAGATACCAACAAGTTCAAAGCATTCAAATTCTCAGATTAAAATTGAGTAAAACAACAACAACAAAAACAGTGAAGACCCATGGTCCCAAATAGGATTATAATAGCATCACTTGTTATAATACTGTCTCTTAGCATGAGTTTTTAAGTTGTCATGCAGATGCTTTATCAGAAATAGTCTAATTTAAATAGATTGGCTTCTTCTATTCCTTCCAGTGGCTACTGAGTACTTATAGACTTTCTGGAATTGTTCATTGGGCAGAGTGGTTTTTGTGTGTGTTTGTATTAAGAGCTAGTCTTAAAACTACTTGGTTTAACACCTGCACAAGATAATAAGAGAGCAAGATAGTTACGTTAACAGTGTTGCCCTAAAGTAGGGTTGCCATATTTCAAAAAGTGAAAATCAGGACACAAAAGTTGTTGAGCTTTTTAAAGTTTTGCCCATTTTTAAGGAAGTTCACCAAAACTGACATGGGTTCACCAAAACTGACATGCCTGTCATACGTCCGGATTTTCCCAGACATTTCAGCGATTTTCACCCAGGCACTGTTTCCAGCTGCCAGATCCCGGGTATGTCCAGGAAATTCCGGGCGTATGGCAGCCCTACCCTAAAGTTCTAGAGCCCTGTTAGATGATTGGGTAGAAAAATAATTTTTTTATTGGAAGCTTCACAGTAAAGCCAACCAAAAAAACTATGCTTGAACAGAACTTCAGGGACATGCAGGAAGAACATGAGATTAAGGTTTGGAGCAGCTGGGCTGACCTCAGGCTTGCTACACCCTTGGGAAAGCACTTGGTGAAAAATTCTTAATTCATTTCCTGGCCACCACAGTATTTACCCCTGTTTTTTCACCTCATTTTTTCCTCCTTTGCTTCCTCTGTTTGTCTTGAGAGAAACTAACCACCAGCACTGGTCTGCACTTAACATATACAGGCAACTCTCCATTTATGCAGGGTTTTCGTTCTGAGGCACCGCGCGCATACGGGAAGTCATGTATAATTGAAGCACCCATTGGAAAAGCCTGTAAACACCCTCCAAAGCTCTGGAAACCCTTTAAAAAAACCTTTAAAAACCAGCAGCCCTACCAGATGGGCAGGAATGGTGGCACTCAGTCTTCCTCATCGCTGGAGGAGGACGATTTGCAAACAGTGACAAGCAGGGTAGACTGGTACCCCAAAGTGCTTGGTTGTGGGTCAGATTCACTTGGTGGGGCTGATAGTGTATTGCAAAAGAACATGGGGGTGGGCAGCTGGCACTTTTGTCTCTTCAGCTAGTCAGGGCACATTTGGGCAGCCTCCTGGTCCACAAATGCAGCTTCAATATGGCTGCCAATATTCTTTAAATTAAAATGTCATTTGAAGCGTTCCAGCCAACCCCAGCTAGCTCAGAATTCCTTTGCAGGCTGCTTGAAGCGCACATGCACGGTGCTGCCATTAATGGGGATACACTAGCAGTTTATGTCCTCTAGACACAGGTTCAGTGCCTCATGTGCCTTCACCAGAGCCTCAGTGTTCAAAACTCCCATTGTTCTAGGCACATTTTGTGACTGCTAATTTAATTAGCGCGAGCAGTGTCTGAGCTCTGGGTGCAGTCCTGTGCCTAAGTTTTCAGATTAGAACTGCAGAGTGAAAGGAAAGGAGGACCTTTTTCTTCCGCCCCACTTCCAGCTACTCTCTGAAGACTGGAGAAGAGACCCTCTTAAGAATATTAGGGGGGTGGGCGGGGGAAGGACTAGACCATGTGAAAAACAAACATAATATTTTAGCTGCAGTTCATTCATTTTCAGCTTTGTATTCTTGTGATTAAAAAAAGCACACCTAGACATTCTGTCGTTCCACCCATAACCTAGGTTTAAGTTGCCATTTAGCTCCTAGCTTTCATATCTGTTTCTGACACTGGGCATGTAGTTGGGGACTATGGCAGTTGCATGTGTACATGCACTTGCTGCCCCTGATGCCAGATGGCCGGGTTATAAATAAATTGTTGTTGTTGTTGTTGTTATTTTTCCTGTACCTTAATGGCACATATTCTGGATTCATTCCTGCCAAACTTGCGTGCCACAGCACACACACTCATGCCATGCTAGAAACTGTCCAGCACTTCCCATTTCTCCTCCAGCGTTGGCGATGCTGTGTTTAGGTGTCTTATCAAAGAACAGCTTTAAAAAACTCCTCCAAAACTCCCAACACAATCGCTCTCTCCCAGCCTCCTTTCTCAAACTCCAACTCTTCACAGGCCTCAATGGTAGGTGCAAGGGGTCTTGGGACTGCAAGTACAAAGGCCTGGGGGATTGCTAGGTGCTGTTTCCGCTCCTTTTCTGACTGTTTTGTGCCTCTTCTGAGGCTGTTTTAGCGATTTTTATAATTCACTGCCAGGTATGGCGTGATGCACATATGTATGGTGACACACACATATTGAATGTACATAAATGATGGGTTGCCTGTAGTTAGCCTCTGGCTTGTTTCCTTCTTAAGTGTAGCAGAGTTAGGAGCAGGGGAGAAGCAAAGCAGAGGTGTTTGAGCAGTGTGCACAAGTTTGCACTGAATCTTAGTTTTTAAAGTGGTTTAAAGTTGTATTTTAGGCTGGCCAGTGTTTTAAACTGTTCTTGCAAATATCTTATCTCAATCTTGTATGCAGATAATGCCAGTGTATGTATAAGCAAACTACTCTTAGAAAGGTTGTGGGGGGGATATGTGTGTTGTGTTGGAATATCAACTCTACACTGGTGGGTCTTTAAAGAATGAACCCAGATTTCTGGGGATAGAGGGAAATCTGTGATACTGTTTTTTATTTGTTACCTTATTTTCTTTCTCCTATGGCTGGATGTTTACATGCCTGAAAAACCTTAATTTTGTGAAATGGCAAACCCAGATTATTTTCATTTTATAGAAAATGCTTTTATCAAGATGATCTGAAATAACATGTAGCTTACATACTTTGAAAATGCTGTGAACCACAGAGGGCATTCTTTCTTTACCTTATACAGCATTGTGCGCTCCCCCCCCCCGCAAAAAAATACAAGCTCATCTTGCCAGACCACAACACATCTGCATCTTGGGCCAGCAGATGTTACTTCACATGCTTCTTTTTAAGACCAAGAAGCACAAGGCAAAACAAAACACAGAAACAAGCATGACATTTTAGAGTTGAAGAAGCTTTGATGCATAGAAATACCTTGAGCAGTTGGCTTTAAGATGCACAGTGGAGGTCAGGGATCTTGAACGGCGTGAGCAATCTGTACCATGTATTCCTGTTTGGTTTGTTTTTGACCAAGATGTGGAAACTGAGGAGGTGAATTGAGATGAAGCTTACTACAAGAACTCTGCATCAGTTAATTCATATTTCAAGCAAATATGAATTTCAGTGAATCTACTTCTAATTTGAGCTGTTGCATGAGCTGGATGGATTGTTGCTCTGTATGAGGCAGTTTCTTGTGTTCCCATTAAAAACATAAATCACAACAGTACTAAAAACAATTAAAAAGACCTGATTAAAATGATGCATGCATATTAACACCTTTTCTGAAAGCACATACTTCCCTTATAAAAATAAAATAAAGTGTGTAGTGTGGAAGATCAGTGTTTTCCTTGCTCTGAAGAGTTCATTGTTCTACTGTAAGTAGGATTAGCAATCAGGGTAGCGAAGTATCAGTTAGTTGGTGCAGTCCTGTCATAATAGTTAGACAGCAGAACAGTACCTTTTACATTTCCCCCCGTCTTCGTCTTTTCCTGGTTTGGCTTTGGGGGGGGGGGACTTGCCATGGAGGAGTTGGGCCGGAAAAGGAGCCTGCTGCCAGACAGAGTTAGGAGCAAAGACTTCTTCAAGAAAGGTACCAACTAGCACCTGTGGTGAAAACAAGCCATGGCTTTGCATTGTAGCTTGTTGCCAGACAACAAATCATGGATTAGTCTGCTGAGCTGCATTCAGATGTCTTAACAAGCCACACTTTGGCTAAAGAAGCTGCTGTTCAGCATTATGCGTGAACCAGGCTAATATGCAATAATGTTGAGTCTGTTCAAAAGGAAAGTGAGTTCACCCGTTTGTTACTACGTTGTGTATTTTTGTGTGTTCTTACTGTAAACCATCCAGTGATCCTTGGGTGAAGGGTGGTATAGAAATTTAATAAATAAAAATAAAATTCACTTTTTCAAATAGAGCCATGTTCCAAAATACAGCCTGCACCTGAGATTTTGGTTTATTATTTATTATTGTTTATTCAACAGCCTCTGCCGTGGCTCTGCCAAACCACATCTTAAATTCTCTGAAGTTATAAAGCAACTTGTATTTTGAGGGTTACTACTGAACTGGAAAATTGCATAGAGACAACAGTTGTGTGCCAATATTATCAAATTGTTTGGATCAGCTAAGACTAGAAAGCCATAAAGTAAAATTTTACATATTTTCAATTAGTGAAAGTGAAAAAGGAGAAAGACTAGCTCTTCCCCTAACTTTTTAGATCTGTCTGTCTATCTATCTATCTATCTATCTATCTATATCTCTATCTATGTCATCTAGCTAGCTAGCTTGCTTTTATTACGGTAAGTAAATAAAATGAACAGCTTACAGCATAATATAAGTACTAATTATTATCAATTGCAAGATGGTTGGGTAAGATGATTTAGTAGGACACCCTCCCAAGAATTGTAACAATGTATAGAAAAAATTCAGATGCCTTTTTGTGTTCTCCTGATAATAGCTAACCCATTGCAATTTTGTTTAACTTTAGCTGATCCCACAGTGAAAGACTTAATTGGAGGCTTCACTGCTCTACATTATGCAGCTATGCACGGCCGAGCTCGGATTGCACGCCTAATGCTGGAATCAGACTACCGCGTTGATATCATTAATGCAAAAAGTAATGATGGCTGGACTCCTCTGCATGTGGCTGCTCACTACGGCAGAGACTCGTTTGTCCGTCTCCTGCTGGAATTCAAGGCTGAGGTTGATCCACTCAGTGACAAAGGTACTACACCACTTCAACTGGCTATTATCCGCGAAAGGTCCAGCTGTGTCAAAATACTCCTAGATCACAATGCCAACATTGACATTCAGAACGGCTTCCTGTTGCGCTATGCTGTGATCAAAAGCAATCACTCTTATTGCCGAATGTTCCTTCAGAGAGGGGCTGATACAAACTTGGGGCGCTTAGAAGACGGGCAGACACCATTGCACTTGTCTGCTCTTAGGGATGATGTACTCTGTGCACAGATGTTATACAACTATGGTGCAGACACTAATACAAAGAACTATGAAGGACAGACTCCGCTGGCAGTTTCAATAAGTATTTCTGGAAGTAGCCGACCTTGTTTGGATTTCCTACAGGAAGTAACAAGTATGTATATTGGAAATCTTTAATCAAAGTCCTCCAATGGTCTTTGGGGGAAGTTGGTGGAAAAATGAGTTTCCTGCTTAGCTGGTTATTACTTGAAAGTTTAGGCAGGCCCAGAGAATAACCACTATTTTCCCCTTCAGAATCATGCTTGTACTTCAACTTGTATACATTCCTCCTGAACTAACTTGGATTCAAATCCTGATTTTTTTTTGTCAGTCCTAGTCAATCAACAGTTCTGCATGTGGCAGGAAGGTAACAGAGAATGAAGGCTGAGAAGTGTAAAATACATTTTTCCAAGGTCTTTCTCTGGTTTACAAAGGAATGTTCAAAAACTGCTGCTTGCTCATAAATTATTTTTCACTTTTCTTTGTTCTTCATTAGAATGGGAGATGATACTGAATTATTTATCCCTTGGGGCTGCGAAATGAGCCTGGTTATTGTGTTGACATTCTTTGGACCTCACAGTGATATTAACATGTGTATGTTGGTTCTTAAATTATAGATCTAAGCAATTCGTGGTTGATACCACTTACTACTAAGTAGTATTATTTTCACCATCAGTCTTCTTCTCATCTTCTTTGGTGATCAAACTTTACCAAACCAATTCCTTTTCCAGCAGTTGCCTGACACAATATTTCTTCTTGGTTTGTGCTTATGATGCAGTGTTGACATGGTTAATCTGTACTGTTTTCCTTTGTCACTAAGCCCCCAACTTATGTACATTTAACTTGTGCACATTCAGCTTGACATGCATGGCAAAAAAATTAAGAAGGAGTGGAGTTTCGAGGAAAATTACTTTGGTAATCCCACCTGCCATTGAATCCAGTGTGTTTTGCCTATATGTGATTTTGGCTTTAGGCATGACCCCGAGAACGTAACCCCACTCAAACTGCAGGCCTACTTTTGAAGTAAAATCTAGAGTATACAGAATAGAGCAGAGCCAGAGTTTTTGTGACAAAACAATGTTATAACAATCAGCCTGTTACGTGTGCATTGTATGATAATGATCTCTCACCGTAGGTGGAACTTGTCAAATGTAGGTAGCGTGTAACAACCCATAGTTCCAATTCTGTTCAGTAGCAATCACTTGTCTTATCTCTAGTCATTGCTGAGATGTGGGTAAGACTAACTCAGCTGTATCTGAGGCTCCTACATTCAAGAAGTGTGTGTATGTGTATGGGGTTTGATTGCTGAATAAGCTCGAGGAGGCATGTCATAGGTATGTAAATTATCTGCTCACATTATTGAATTTGTACTTTGAAACAACAGAGGGATTAATTTTTAACATACAGATTTAGTAACAGGTGTAATACTAAACTTTGCTTCAGCATTTATAGAAATGAAGTTTGGGCTTTTGTTCATTCTCCCTCACGTCACTATACCAATTTCTATTCTCTCTAGTTTACAGAAACCATTAATTTATCATAATTTAAAAAACAACAACGCAGATCTTTAAAGCATTTCCTTATTTTTTTTAAAAAAATGTCCCAGAAAACTAATCCTTTCCTTTAAAACAAAGAGAGAGGCTACTACCATTTGCATTGTCGGTGTTTTTTTGGACTTGTAGTTTTCTTCATTTTTCTCTTCTCTGAAGTATTATTTCACCCAGTTTTCTTTGCATATAACAATGCATTTCATATCCTAGTTACTTTGTATCCAGGCACTTTCTCTGCAGAGTTTTTCTTCCAGCTTACTCTCCTCCTACCCTAGCAACTTCCTGCTTAGCACCCTCTTCTGTGTGTCATGTAGGAATTTGGGATTGGTTTTTTTCTTGAACACTTAAACCTTTTTTAAAAATTGTGCTTAACTTTGCATATGTTCAGATTTTTGAACATTAAGGCTGCAGTCCTAAACACCTAGATTGAATTTTGCTCCATTAGACTCCATCGAACTGACTTCCGACTAAGGTATGTTGGATTGCCCTTCACCACTGTAGTTAAGTAATTTTTAGTTGCACTGTTCCTATCAATGTCTCCCTTTTTAAAAACTTCTCGGTCTCCTTAACCCTACAGTGTAATTTTGATCTTTTTCAGTGTCCTTCATGGATTGTACATGGATTCTATACTGTCTTTTTCTTTCCATCATGTCCCTTCTATTGTCATAATCATTTAACCCTTTAAACATGTTCAGTGCTGTAGGCATGTATTCTCCTGATTTTGATTGTATGCCTTTCTTCATCAAAATGTAACGCCACACTAGCACTGGCTAAGATTTGTGGAATGGCTGAACTGAAAGATCTCTGTGCTGATTTTCTTCTGAGCCTATCCCTTCTAAGGCTTGCTTTGCTCACGTTCTGCTTCTCATACCTTCAGCACTACCCTTGTACAACCCTTTGAATACTTAAGCATTGAATAAGCAGCCACACTGGCCTCCTCCCTACACCTGTTGTTTTTCTCTTTCTGATGCCCAGTGCATCCATGTGTAGCACACCCAGTGATCCTTGGGGATGGCCTTGGGCCTCTCTTGGCCACGTTGGTCCTATTGCATACCCTCCTTAAATGCTTTTGACTTGGCAGGAATGTGTCCTTGAACTGTGGTAATGCCTCTTGCTTCCTAGATAAAGGGTGGAAAGGGTTGTTCATGTGTGCTGACTTTAGCATGCCTGCAATGTAGGCAACTGTACAAAGGAAAGTCACATCCATTGCTTGGCCCACTCTTGCCTTTGGTCTCATTCACCATGCAGCCCTTGGGAGGAAAATGGTTCCTTGCCCCTGATTTAGACCTTATTCCTAAGATTTACTGCATTTGTCTCTGCCTCTGGGATGCCATTTGACAAGTTTGTACTGTACTTTAGCTAACTAAGTCAAGACTGCAGGGAGAGTACTCCCATCACAAAAAGTCAGTACAGGATGTGTCCATTAGTAAGTGGATTGAACCACTTCCAGCTTTTTTGGCAAACTTGTGACAGGCTTATGAAAAGCCAAGGTGCAAACTCATTCTTATTTTTGTAAAGGGAGTGGTTAGTTGCAGCACTTCCTTAAGCGAAAACCTCCAGTGTGTGGAAAAGGAAATACTTTTAGCTTGAGAGAAGGCTCTTCAATGTTTATACACACCAAGCCCCAACATGAAAAGTTCTGTAGCCATGATGGTAGCGCTGTATTTTATATTATGTGATAATTAGTGTGTGAACCATAGCTGTCAACCTTCCCTTTTTTTGCGGGAAATTCTCTTATTCCAGCGCTGCTTCCTGCTGCTATCCCGGATTGTTAGATATCCTGTAGACTGTCCCTGGGACAGGTGAGGCTGCTGATCCCTTATTTTCAAATCTGAAAGTTGACAGCTATGGTCTGAACGCATCCCTCTGCCCATTTCTCTCTAGGTTGGCTTTGACAGTTTGACTAGGTGGTAATAACTGTTTGTGGCAACAAAGTATAAAGCTGTAGTTACAAGGTTTCTTACTGTGTTGCAGTAGTCTAAGCAAAAGGCACATTACTGCTCTAAGCAGCTTCCATTGATCAAAGGGGGCCAGCCAGCTTTAAGGTTGGATGCTTGGAATGTGGTTTCCTTGATAATCATAATCAGAGAGGACTCTGTTGAAGAGGACACTTAAACAAGTTAGTCTTCTCAAGGGAGATTATTTAATTACATTTTGTATATTTTATACTACTGTACTCCCTTTGTTAAATTGAAAGATTTGTGGATTGAAAAGTAATTTGAAAGCCTTTTAGATCCCCCTTTCTTTAGACACCTACAACTGAAATGAATCTAAATTTTCTTTGCCAAAATTTGAAAAAGTGTGTTCGGTGTTTTTAAGTCGTGCAGTGGCTTCCACTCCTACGTAATTTGAATCCTTTGAAATTGAGAACTTCATGGAATGTAGTTGTGGTCAATGGGGCGATTTTCCTGCATCAGCATCTTTCAATGTGTAGGAAAATATTCTATAACTTAATATGAAGTTTTAAAATCATTTGCTTCAATTAATGGTTGTAAACTTCCTCTGCTTTTCAAGTCAGGTTGAAGATGATGGCTTAGTTCATCCTCTTGCAGAGATGTTGTTTTTATGGAACTAATGTTATAGTGCATGTGATATTGTAGACTCTTCATGCAGTACTAATCTCCCCTTGTTAGGTAGCTGATAGTCAAATGCCAGTTTTAAAATAAATAGCGTTTTATGAGACGGGGGCAGGCTTTTATGTATGTTGGAGATGGATCAGACTCTTTCAGAGAAGAGACATCCTAGGTTCTTTTGGGCATGGAAAATAGGAGGCTAAACTTTCAAAGGGTTATGTAGCATCTGAGGTGGGTGACTGTTAGTCAAAGCAAACTCCCTGGCTATCATATTCCAAGCACATTTTCAAAGCATGCATGTTTGCCTCAAGAACATAACTGGGCTTTTTGTTCAGGTAGGTGCTTTGATATTGCCGTATGTTTTGTGTGTTTATCCCCCAACAATCCCTTTATTCAAACCCCCCCAAAGTACTCTGTTTCAGGGAGGTTGGGCTGCCTTTGGGCATTGCAATACAGTATAAAAGTGAAATATACAGTGTACAAATGGTAAATGGAGCTAAGCTATAACATATGCTGAAGTCTTGCTGATTTAAATAATGCATTTGTAAGTGTACCACCATGTATAATTGCACACTGTGTGCAGCAAGTTTGAACACCATGAGCATGAGCCAGACTTCTATTGGGCTTGATCTACAAAGTGAAATAAGCTTTTAAACAAAAAAGAGACCTTGCGAGAAACGGCTGTTATCTCAGGATTTTGGAGTTTAGTTTCAACCACTTTTATATTCTACTTTTACTGATGCTGGGGTTGGGGTGGATTTCTTACATTCCTATTGAATTTTGATCTGCATACAGTTGCTGCTGCCTGCCGCTGTGTTAGGCAACAGTATTATCAGTCTGTATACCAAAAAGGTGCTATGAACCTGTAGCTTGAGGCTTTTAAAAGAGCTGGAGTTTAATTGTAGCATTTTCAGGTCACCAAACAATGAATGGGTGAGTGGTACTTATCCCTTCAGTTTTGCAAGCAGATTTAACATAAATATAAATGGGTAGACAGTTATTCGATTTCTTACCCGCCCTTTACGGCAAGTTCCCAGGGCGTTACAACAATAATATGTACAATTATAAAACAAAATAGTTACAACCATAAACAAAAGTGTAAACAATTACAAACAATTCCATATATAAAAACAGAACAGACATTTAAAAGCAGTTCCATAAATAAAAACCATTGAAGTTTATTCCAGTGCAGATGCAAGTCTGCACATGAAGCTATAGGAACCCTTCATGTGAATGTCTCAGGCTTTAAATGATCATCAAACTGTATTTTTAGTATTTGATTGTAATGTGCACTCTGTTAAAATCATGAAGTGGGGAGAGTGGAAGAAACACTACTTCGAAACCAAAAATAGCAATAGGTCATTTGACTGCTGTAAGGCAACAGTGCATTTCGTAGGGGTGTGAATTGCTTCTTTTACCTCACTCTCCACTTGATATAAATCAAATAGGCAATCAAAATAATGACAATTGCCTTTTCCTTAAAACAGCTTTCTGGGACTGGTGCCCATTTATGATGGCGTTTTAACTTGCAGATTTCACCTGAATTATCTAATGAAAGAGGTTTTGGTTTTTACATGTATTTTTGAAGCAGATATAAATTAGTTTAACTTTAAATTCACACCTATCCATTTTTGTGTGTGCTTATTATTACTGTTTTGGAGCCTTTTACACAGTAGATAGTAACATCAAATATAGTTCATTACTACCTTAACATTTATTATTAACCAAATTCATGAGTACCTATACTAGATAGACAAAACATGGCATCTATTTAACTCACATTTGGAATAATGTTCTCTGTAGATTCTGTGCTTTGTGGGTATGGGGCGGGGAAGGGAAATGTTTCTTACAGGGGGGGCAGCTATGATCTCACATTCCTTTTGAGAAACCAATTAAAACATTTTTTGAAAGAAGAATGGTGGTGGGTAGAGGGGGAAAAGTCTGCTCTTTTCCAGCTATGTGGAATTATATTGCATTTTAGGTTGTTACTTTTTTTGGGGGGGGGGGTGGAACAAAAACAAAAAGACAAAGCACTTCTTTGCCTTCAGTGGAAACGTTGGGTCTTTGTGGGCATCCAAATGATCAGTGCAAAATTTTGCAGTGATGGAAAGTTCTTTTTAATCTATGCTAAGTATAAGAAATGTTATACTGGAGAAAGAACCTCATTGTTTCTGGTCTCAAACTATCATTTAAAACCAGGCTTTGGTATGCATTTGAAATGGAGGGTTAAACACTAGCTTTCTCCCATTGAGGTAACTCTTCTGGGAGAGAGAATTTTTTCTTTTATAAGGCTCAGTTATATCATTGGCCACAAGAATCCAAAGCAAGCTGCAGGAGGTAGTTTTTTTGGGCAAGTAGGGCAATTATTTTATTTTTTAAAATTGACACTCTTGCACAACTAAAATGATTTCACCAATCAGCAATCAATCAAGGAAAACTAGAGAAGGAGAAATATACCAGCATATGAAAGTACATAATTGCTCTGCTTTTGATACTTTTGATTCATTCGTATTTTAATTTTAGAGCAGTTTATCTTTTGACAATGATGGTTTTATTCCTCATATAGACCGCAGACAGAAAACCAAATTGGGTGCTTCTGGTCTAGTTTGCAGGTCAGTTGCTGTTCTTGTGATCCTGTAATGGGACTGTTGCTGATCTGGGGAACAACTTGTGTGCTATTGAAAAGCCGAGAACGACTATAGTTGTGATGGTGCTTGAAGTCCATAATAAATCGACCATGTCCTCATATATATGCCTATATGCCAATAGGCCCTGCTCACTAATCCATCGGTACATCAAATTAGGCCAGCAGCACAGGCGAGCAGGTCCTTTGCCAAAGTTGTCCCCTGGTTTTGGAATGCTTGCTCATCAGATATGAGGGAGTTTTTTCAAAAAAATGTGTTGATGAGCTAATGGTTATTTGATTGATTTTGGGAGGGAGGGAGAGGGTTTTTAAATTTTGCTAGAATCCAAATAACTTCAAAATTAGTTCTACATGCCAAAATATGTTTTAAGTTTGTGTTCCTCATCTTCCCCATTCTGCATCACAAACCTATTTTGAAATTGATTGGATTGATTGCAGTTAAAAATGCATGGGGGTGTAAAGTGTGTAGGGTATATACATGCCACCCCATTGCCTCTGCCTACTCCACCCTGACCTTTTTAAATTCAATGAGAGAGACTGAAGGGAAGTTGCACACTGGCTTAGCTGAACATACCAGTATTTGTGTTACCCAGTTTCCAAAAAATGGGGAGGTTTCTAAATGCATTGCATTGAGTGTGCTTGCTAGCCAGTTTTAGATTTTCCTGCTCAACACAGAAAGATCAAGGCATAGATGGGGATGGTGAAGGTGGGGCCAGCATGCACCTTCACTTCCCCTACATGCTTCATGCAATTCTTTCATGTTCTCTGTATTGCCTGGACAGGGCTTTAGATTTGAGAAAATCTAGCTTTCAGGGTTGGGGTGGGGGAAGGCACCTCGCTGAGCATACCAGAGATCTTGTGCAAACTCAAAAGTAGAGTTTTGAATCCTATCTTATAGCTATCTTTATTTTAATATATCTCTTGGAGGTTTGGTATTGTTCGTATTTCATTTTTTGATTGCTGCATTTCAGCATTTGGAAAAAGTAACTTAAAATGCTTTAAATACAATACTGCTTGGTATCAGTTTTCTACAACTTAGAAGTTGTCCCGTCTCCCCTTTTCAGGCTGTTAGAAACAAGATTTTGAAAAGTTTTCCATGTCCCTAATATGGGAATGGATTTTCAGAGCAGGGCAGGTGTTCGCTTACAACAATATGATGACTACTTTGAAAATCTAGCTGCCAGATAGGCTTGAAAATCACAGCAGGTTTCGTTGTCTGCGGTGAACAAAAAAATGTATATTTAGGTCAGGCTGGAAAACATTACAAAAAGTTTTTAGGGATAGGAGCTTTTGGGTCTTTAAAAAAAAAGATATTTCTGCTTCTATAAGAAACTTTGTGGTCTAGTAACTTCTGTAGACTTCAAATTGCCATATATTACAAGTATAAGGATAATATTAAGGGTGCTAGGTAACTGAATCTCAAAGGCACTACGAGCTTATTAATGGCTGAATTGTAGACTCTAATTAAAATATTTAGGTCTTTGGGCTGTTGTCTTAGTCTTGTGCCTGCCTTCCTGTTTGTGATGGGAGTTTTTTGTCATTGGTTTTTGGTTTTGTTTTTTTTACTTTCCCATTGCCGTTTCTTCTTCATTAAAACAACAAACAACCCACCCACCCCCTGATATTTCAAATGATAACATGTCTGTGCTTGCTGTCAGATGAAATATGCCAGAATATACACTGTTAACATATACCTGTTAGACTGTTTACTCGTAGGAATCAGCTTCTTTCTGGAGAATGGCCAGATTTGGTTAACACAGCAGGAGAAGTTAGCGTTTCTAAAGGGTTCCCCTAAGCAGGTCTTAAATTGCTGAAAAATGTTCAAAGGTGGCTGCCATTCAGATTATTTTAAAAATGCTTCTTGTGGTAACATAATATGCAGACTTACTTTTAAAGTCAAGTGAAGCTTATGGTTGTAACTCATTCGTATACTTTATTTATAAAGACTGCAGAATAATATCAAAACCACTTAATGGAAAAGTCACAACACTGTTTATTTCTGTGTTCTGGAATCTCTTGGTTTTATCTGTGATGAGTGAATATGCAGGCTGAGGGGTGACTCATAAGGTCATTTTTAGCACAAATTCATGTTTTCTTAAACCTTTGTAATGTAAGACTAGCTGTGCAGCTGCGCATCGTGGCCCCATTACATGCATAAAGAAAGCAGTGCTCAGATTGGAGTCCCAGTGGTTTCAGGAAAGAAATTTCTACGCTTGTTGTTCAACTTCTATTGGAGATGTAATATGTGCAATATATTCTCCAGTATATTGTCTAATGATCTAGAAGGTCTAGAAGCATTAATCTACTATATTGCATTTTTTATGTTCTGTTCTTCCTCCAACAAATTTGGGGTCATGCACCAGGTTTCTCCCTTTCCCTTCACCCACATCCACCATATGAGGTAGGTTGAGCTGGGAATTGAAGTTGAATCACCCTGGTTATAGCCTGTCACTGATCACTACATCAAGACAGTTTTATTAATTACCGCAGAAATTTGCATGAGACTATTTTCTACACGGATGTGACCTCACTCATGAAACTCCAACTGCTTCGTCGTATATATATACACTGTCGTGAAAGAGTTGGCTGTGGGTTCCCATGGTGTATAAACACAGCTAATTTGACATAGGTACTCCTGTATTCTGGGAGAATGTAAATGCAAAGACTTCTCCCACTTCTCACTTGGAAGTAATGTTTGTGTAGAGAATTGGGCTTCCTTGGGAAGAGTCTTAAGAGAGGAGTTAACTTGTGGGGAAGTGAGTAGAAACAAATATTTGTATGAATGGAAAGTACCGTAATTTAATTAGATTTCTCTGTCACTGTTCCCTCTCTGAGATTTTATTTTGCGTTTGTCAGACACCATCCAGTTGTGCCGGAACTCATATGTGGAACATATCAACAGCAGTACAAGGAGCCGACTTACCCCAGAGGGTAGCCACAGATAGTCCATCCCCACAATTGCCATGGGGGTGGACCATCAAGATCCCAAATAAATGGTTCACCCTCCTCATCCAGAGGAGGGGAGTCACCACAGGCTCACCCTGCTACAGCCAGATACGACAATTCACAAATCGTTCCCTCTTCCTCCTTGAGGATGGAGCCCTAGCCTCTTCCCCCAAATGGGGTTAAGGATGGAAGAAACACGTTGCCCAGTGAAAGATGGGAGAAATAAATGAATTAGGAGGCTGTTAATGATTGCATCAGCTTTTCAGTTCCCTTCCCCCCCCTTAGTTTCCAAAACAAATCTTTAGAGAACAGTGTTTTCTGTCTTACTTTTTTGTTTCCTTTAGCTAAAATTAAAATTGCATAACATTAGGAATAAACATTAATACACTGGAAAAGGCTAACAAAACAATTGCGAGATCATACCAAAAATGATGAATAATGGCTTACAACATACCTAAACGTATATTCCCAGAAGGTCATTAAATCTATTTTTTATCAAATGGAGTTTCACAAATTTGATTCTCAGTATCACAAATAAAATTAAGTTTTAACATTATAGAACTTGGAATATGGCTTTGAAACCAGTCCCACAGTAGTGAAGAATTTCACCACATACTCACAAAAGAGGGAGAAAATGCAGGTGAAGAACTTCACGAAAGCTGGTCAGGTTCAGCATAGCACTTACTACAACACATTGAAAAATGCGGCAAACTCACACATACCTTTTACAAGGCTTATGTAATATAACCAGTGCAATCCCAGATCTTTCCTCCTTTTCCCCCTCCTGCCCCTGCTGAATAAACCCATTACAAATATTTTGCCATAGTTTTTAATCTAGCTTTTTAGAGTATTTAGATTTTTGACAGATACGCTTTGGATTATGTTTGTAATAAATGGGTCATATTTAAATTGATAGTATCTCAGAGGGTAGTATGTAATGGTAGAAGCAAATGATGGCACTAACTAAAATAATTATATCTTTTCGAGGTACTAAATGTATATTAAGAGATTTGATTTTCTGTTGCTTGTTTTGTTCTAACAGTTTCTCATCGAGTAATAAAAGCTTATCTAATTTTCACATACAGTCTTCCATCTGACTACTGTATTTACAAGCATCCAGTTATAATGCTACTGGGGCATCATCTATATATATAAAAAATCTCAACTAACCAACATAAATAATAATTTGAATTTATGAAAAAAAATCAAATCTCTTAATATACATGTAGTACCTCGAAAAGATATAATTGTTTTAGTGTCATTACTTGCTTCTACCATTACCTATTACCCTCTTGAGAGATACTATCAATTTAAATACGACCCATTTATTACAAACATAATCCAAAGCGTATCTGTCCAAAAATCTAAATACTCTACTTCTATTTAATAAAGCTGACTGAAAATCCGGTAAAATTTTATTTCTCCTTCTGATAAATGCTTTGTCCGTTGTAACTAAGAATTACAGTTGCTACTTTCACTTTACAGCTGATAAATTGAAATATTTCTGATTTAGTCATCTCTCAATTTACGAGTTTATTTTATTTATTTAAGTAACTTTTTAAAAAAACCCAACTCAAAAGTAGTTTACATAATAGAACATCAAACAATATACAAAAAGATGGCAGCCCAGCGTTTTAAATAATTTCTGAAATGGAAGAAATTTAGGAACAGTGTTAATCAAGGAAAGAAATTCATAAAACCACAGTTATAAGGGGGAAAGCAGCAATTTTGTAAGACAAGTATTTGGTAAGGGCTATAGCTCAGAGGAAGAGCATCTCCTTTACATATGGAAAGTCTTTCATTCAATCCTTGGCATCTTGAGATTGGACTCAGAATGTTCCTAGTCTGAAACCCTGGAGAACAACTGCTAGTCAGTGTAGACAATACTGTACTGAACTTGATGGGCTGGAGGTCTGTCTCTGCATCAGGCACATTCCTATGTGTTACGCCCAAATGCCCTCCTAAAGAGCCATTTTTTAACCAACCACATAAAATCAAAATATTGGAGTCTAGCAGATCGCACTTGATAAGATGTTCCACATGGTAGGTGCCAGTTTGGAAAAGGCCCTGCTCATGATAGCTGCCCATTATGCCTCATGAGGGGAGAACTTTGGAGTGAGGACTCATATGTTGAATTGGGCACATTGAAAGGAACATATGGAATTACCACTGTATCTTTACGTTGCAGTTATGCATAATCATATAAAATCATAAGCTCATCTCTTATTTAAATCTAAAACTCTAAAATTATTGAATATATCAGATATTTTAATCTCAACCATTTTTCAGTTTGAGCACATCCTAATGCTCTTTGCTAATGCACTTGAGGAACAATATCCCCAAAATCATTCTCTCTTTGAACTAAACTATCCAATTTATCACCAAGTTGTTTACATAAACATGTACTTTATTCATTGATGTTTTTAATCTACTTTTTTGACACTCTTAGGTTTCTCAGTATATTCTTTCAATTATTCTTTATCTGTGTGTCTATCTTCTGAAAGTTTGAATTCCTTCATTAAAGATTTTTTTCCCCTTGCCTCGAGAGACTATGTTGGGATCTCTTACCCAATTAATTTTCTCAGGAATTTTTGGAGTCATATCCACAAATCAACTTTGAATCATTCACTCCCCAATATATTAGCAGGACAGTCTTAACTATAAATCTTTCATTTCATCCATCCCACAGACAGAATCAGTATCATATGAATTTGTTTCAGATTTTTTTCAAATAATCATATTTCAATACCGCCCAATCATATCTCGCATAATATATATTGTGCATCTCCCGTATACAAGAAAATTGTAGAAAATGAAGTGCATAATGTTGCATCAATGCTGGACAGTTTGTAAACTATAAACATTTTTCAGCTAAATACTATATTTCGCTATCCCTTACATACTATAATTTATATTGCAACAAATCCATATAAAAAAGAACATTCAAATTCCAAATCCTTATTAGTTGAGAAAATATCAGTCACAAAATCAAATTGGAATTTAGTATGTAGTAATGTTTTTGACATGCATTTCCGAATAGGTTCATGGTAATATTGGTTAATGTTCCAAATAGTCAGAATTCTAAGACTTTGCTGAACAGTGTTATGAAATGGTCGCACCTTTTGATGATCTAAGTCACTTGTACTGGTGAGGTGGCCTCCAGCCATATACAGGTGTACAAAATACACACCTGGAAGTGAGTTGCTGTGGCTGGTCTGTGTTGGAAATGGAACGTGTTAACTGCCTCCTCCCCCCCCCCCCTGGAAAAGGTGGGCAGGTTTTCGGAGTACCCAGCTTGACAGTTCTCAGCTTCTGTCTCTTTGAAGTAGTATTGCATTCACTGAACTTGAGCCCCTGGGATAGGGTGGGTTATAAATGTTTGCTTAAATCAGGCTTTTTAACTGTTGCCTGTACCAAAGGAACAGACAGCTGCTGCCTATACTTCTAGAATAAAACTTACTAATAAGAGCCTTCATTAAATTTGATGGTTCAAACATGTGCCATCATTGGAAGCAGACAGAGAAGGGTTAATGGAATTAGTTTTGATACCATTGTATTTCTGAATGTGCTGGCTTTGGAAGTCTTTTAATTGTCATGTTTAATCTCCCTTTTAATCTTTCCAAACTTGGCAGAGGTTCTGCACTTAGTATTACCTCTTAATCATCATTAGATAGAGCTTGATTTGTTGCCTTCTTCACGTGTATTGCTTTTGCCCGATTACTAATAACATTTTACATTTGCCAAATGAAGGTTCACTGGTGTTGGTCTATAATCCTCCCCTCCCCTCCCTTTTTCATTCAAATGCAACCAAGAATGAATAAGTTCTCTAGACACCAAGAGCCAATAGATGTGGCAACTGGTGCTTAACACTGGAAATGTCCATTGTTAGCACATTCCCAGGAAATGCTCTTCAGCTTATCAGGGGGAAATGTCAAGACGCTTAATAATCAGCTCTTAAGGAATTCTGCCCTAAATGTGGATTGTCTGCCAACCCCCTTCCATTTTATTCAGATCTGTTGCAGATTTGGATGTGAGATGTTTTTCTGTAGGCGACAGTCAATGTTCAACTTTCAATGTACACTTGTGAATGCTGATGTGACAATCCGATTCAAATGTTGTGAATGTCTGAACACTATTGAGATAATACTGTTTGAAAATTTCCTGAACTGTAGTTGTTAGCAATCACTGTAGTATGTCCAGAAAAGGAGAAAATCTCAATCTCTCTTTCTCTCTCCCCCCCCCCAATATTCATGAAATCTCTCTGGGATTTTCAGTTTTCGCCTTTAAATACCATAAATTTATGTGAATATAAAATCATGCACTAGTGGTTAAAAGCAAATGTCTATATGGTTAAGTTTGAGTTGGCAATACTTTCTTTTTTTATGTCTGTGCATTTCATTCTGCAGTTAGCTTAAAATTTGTTCTTGGGCAACTCTGGAAGGGAGCAACTCAGTGTTAGAGCATAATAATAGTTGGCATGCAAAAGGTTCAGGGTTCATTCTGGCATCCTTAAAAGGCTATTGGGTAGCAAGGTTGGGAAAGACTTCTGCTTGAGACCTGCTGCTAATTGTTTCTAACTTGGATAGTTTAGCTGAAACCTGACATTTAACTGAACACACGAAAACCAGTTTCTAGGTCTACACATTTAGCTGTTCTGCTTCGTAGTGCTTGTGAGAGTTTCTGCTTGTTTGTTTCAGCTTTCAGCTTTCAATTACCTTTTAATGATGGCATATTCTTTTTATCTTCTTTTCAGGGCAGCCACGGAACTTACAAGATCTATGCCGAATTAAAATCCGCCAGTGTATAGGCCTTCAAAACCTCAAACTACTTGACGAACTACCAATTGCCAAGGTTATGAAAGACTACTTAAAACACAAATTTGACGATATCTGACATTTTTGCAAAAACGTTGGACGATAAGCAAGATTAGTTTATATTCCAGATACCTTTCAAAGGCTGGTCACCTTGCACAACGTATATCCTATGCAATTTCTGATTTTTTGTTTTCCCCGAGAAGTCAGAAGGCAGGTATACAATTTCTTTGGGAGGGGGGTGTTTTATACCAAATGCTAGAAGGTGTTACTTTTTTATTATTTCTTGGTCCAAGTTTACAAGATCCAAGCTCTCTATACAACTTTACGATTGTAGTCTGGTTTCCCCAACCCCTCTCCACAGGGGTGAGTATCTTATTTTTTTTATTTTTAAAAAACTTAAACTTGCAGCTTTGAAATGAAGACAGAATGTCAGTTGTTCAAAGGGATCCTTCCCCTACCCCAATGTAGCATGTGTAATACTGTGAGATGGCTGAGTGAATGCTAAACAAAGTAAAAGTAGGAGACTTAAGGAAGTAATCCACAACACACTACTGTTGTATAGCCTCTGTTCCATGGGGAATCCCAGGCAGGACCCTCTGAAATGAAGGATCTACATAGCAGCAGTGCTTCCTGGATTAAGTCCACTAGCATTGCTCCCGTGCCAAGAACCAATATGGGTATCCGCTTATTCCTCATAAGGAGTCCTGACAATTGACTGGATTCCATATGGTCACTATTTTCTACCCATAAGGTGCTTTTCTCAGAATCATGGCTCAGGCTTGTAACTAGGGTGTTCAGAGTTTACTATAAACACGATAGCTCTTTGGAAACATTGCCACCTTCATTGTTTTTCTTTTCTTTTCTTCCTTTTTCTTAAAAAAACCCCAAGTTGGATCTTTAACATAATAATTGTAGTTCAGATGTCCATATGTCTTATCCTTCCTTTGATGCCAGTATGTTCGTTGCTGTTTGTAATTAGGTTTTACACTGCTCAGATGCCTCTGTGGTCTCTCTGTATTTCTTTTTTTATAAAAACATTAACGGAAAACTAATCTAATTTCAAAGCCGATGCATCCTGTTTCTCATATGCAATAATTTCCCCCCCAATTTATATTTTCTCCATCACACATGTGATTCACACATATTCCTACCCTGGTCTCAATATGATGTTCGTTACTTATTGGAATTGCTGCTTGCTTATTGGGATATATATATAGATATTTTTGTTACCCCTCCCAAATTTCAAAGGCATCTAGTTTGGACTGTTGTGGCTCACTTCTTCCTCACCTCACCCCCATGCAAGAGGCTAATCTGTGGTATTTTTAAAACCAGAATCTGGCCTAGCAATTGGGTTTCCATATTTTTAAAAGGGCTCCATAACCTGAAACCTGTTGTGTTTTCAGCTTGCTTGATGTTAATTAGGATTTTGGGCTGATTCACCAAACCTCTAATTTGTTCTTATGGGCTGTGGTGTAAACACAGCATCTCAAAATACCTTTGCTGACATGCAGATCTGTGTAAAATTTACCATAAATCTGTAGGTCACAGATCTAAAGGGGAACCTTGTGTGAACAATTAAGTTCCATAAGTATGTTGAAGCATAAATAATTGGCCATACCCATAGAAAACTTAGCCACAGCACCTGGACCTTTTTTATTTTGAAGATTCTATATATAACCCCACTGTAATGAGACTTTCTCACTCGGAAGATGATAAGCTTCTGAGCGCAAATCTAAATCTGCAAGAACCCAGCCTGTGCTTTTTAGGCTGAAACTGGCACGTTTAATTATTGCACAGGTTACTAGTCATACCTTGGATAAAGCCTGCAGTTTGATAGGAGTTGAGATTGCAAAGGAAATGAGTTTATAAAAGTTATCCTCTGTATGTCAGTGGCTTTAGCATCCTGAGCTTTGGGATTCCATCTGAGATTCAACATAGATTGCACTTGGGGAACATTATTAGTTCTCTCTGCAGTTTCCAATCACTTTCCCACCACTCGTTTCTTAAAGAGGAACAGAAGTCAGTAATTTAGGATCAATAGAGCTAGGTAATCGATGGTACATGACTGCAGCATTAATTTCCATTCTCATAAGCATCAATCCTGTTGCTGTCAATCAATTACAAGGAACTAAGGTAGCAAATGACAACTTTTTGCTCAGCAAGCACTGACTTAGAGTGCAAGTTATTTCCTCCCAACATACATACCTCCCCCCGCTCTTATCAAGATTCTGCTTCAGAGGAATGTATGTTGTTTGTTTAAAAAAATGGAATTTTAGTGGCCAACTAGTACATCATTCTATTCTATTCTATTTAGTTTGCCCTTAATTGGAACAGCATTCAAGCTACGTATACTTCATCAGATGGTCTTTAGTGAATACAAGGGTTTTCAAGTCTGGACAACAAGGTCCCTGTTTCTTGTGATAAGGAGCTAGGAGCAACTCGTCTGTTTTGATCTTCAAGGAAATGTTCACAAAAGCCTCCCAATCTCTTCTAATTTTTATGTTCTTTGGTATCTTAAGGCCCCAGTCCAGTTTACTGGAGATTCAGGCTTTGATCAGTTTGGTTGACTTTCTTAAAGTGATGGTGCATTCTTACCAGCCTAGTAGTCTTTACTGGTTCAGGGATCAATTGTAAGGTGAATTTTATTCTGTCTTGCTGCTGTGACTTCAAAAAATATATATAAAATGTATTGCTGATAACAAAAGTGCTATTTAATGAAATGTATAATTCCATTTATTTATTTGTTTGAGGTTTGTTTTCGTGTCTCTCCCCCTGCCCCAATGTTTTAATAATTGACATACTTTGAATGAAGTACATCTTAGGCCATAAAGTAAAATTCCCTTAACCCTACTGTGTTATCCATTATTTCAGTAAAGCCATTTGACTAGCCGAAGGCAAAGTGGGGAGGGGCAACCTTCGGTCCCAGTTCCTAAGAAAATCAAGCCTTTGACTTATTAACTCAGTAGCTGGTCATCTTTCTTTCTAATGTACAGGAGATTCCATAGCATATGCACCATGTTGAATTGGGGCCAAAGGGCAGAATGTGCATTGTGCATATCTCCATGCAAGCCCAACTCAATTAGGGGATATACAGCCTGAAAGATTTGTAACTCTTTGAGCAAACATAACTTGTTTTTGAGAAGAGAATCAGAATGAAATGATGTTGATGTATTTTGGTTTTACCACTAAAAAATGATGGAAGCTTTTCCATTAAATGTTTTGGCTTAAATTCCAAAAAAGAAAAAAGATAAGAGCATTTATCCCACTTCTTTAATATTAAACATTTTTATATAGCTTTTTTTAAAAAACAAAACACAAATTGGCAAACACACCAAAGAAATGGACAAGATGAAGATCATTAGCAAACCACAAACCTCATTCTTTTAAAAACAAAACCAGAGTTTTGTAAATATTTCTGTTTATAAATGTACAGCAGAGTAAGAGTCTGTTTTTTAGATTATTTAATTACCATATTTCTAATCTATTTACAATATTAGAGACCATATTTGTAAATTCCCAAGGCTTCTGTTTCATTTTTCATTTTTTACTTATTTCATTATTCATATTAGGAACAATCTGCCCTCATAGGGACAGCATGAAGACACAGCATTTTGTATTTGTTGGTTTTTGGTACTTCATAGACATAAAGATGCCCAGTGTAGGAGTAACTGTGGCTCCCTGCAAGTGTTGATTTGCAAATTAGAAGCCAGCTACATGAACAAGTTTTTCCTTCTCTAAGCACAAACTCTCTTCCACTACCCCCATTCAGTTTAATGCTATATCTGCACCAGTGCTAACCAGGATTCCCCTTGTCTGTGTCAGATCCTGGTTAAGATGGCAACCTTATTTTAGCATTAACCACAGTGCAGGTGCAATGTTTCAACCATAGTTAAAGCTGACACTGGACAACGAGAAGGAAATAATCCCTGATAGAGAAGGAGTGAGAAGGACCCACATTCCTTAAGCAAAGCCGTGTTTACAAATCATGGCTAACCTTACAGAGAGCCAGCATTTCGTTTGCACCAGCCTCAAGTGACTGAGAATATAGTCCCCTGGGAACGTTGCCTACAGAAGCACACTTGAAGCAAATTGGTGGTTCTTGTCTGTGGCAAGCTCCGGTTTCTTTCAGCGGAGCCTGAGATGGAGACCTTTGTTGTGGATTTTATGTCAGGTTTTAATGAAGGGTGGGCTAATGAAACCTGAAATCCCAGTCTAACTCAATACGGTCAGTTTGTTGCAAATTTCACTGTGAGAAGGATGATGTACCATTTTGCCCGCCATTCTTATCTTCCATGCAGTTCTTTCTGTGTTAGCAGCATCGTAACATATTTTGTTCTTCCTTTTGTAATGTAAGGTTTTGCGTTGGGTCATTTTGAATTAAAATAATTACCAAATTCTTTTAAATCTGCTTCATTTCTTTTTAAAAAAAAAAAATTCAAAAGTTTTTATTCTTTATATTGCAACGGTTGGGGAGGATTGCCTCAGTAGCTGCCTTCTGTAAATATTGTACTTGAAGTATGACCTTCAATTTCTGGACTTAGATCTTTCCCTGGCTGTTGAAATTGTGTACTTCTCAGACCTGGAATTTAGTGATAGTCTCGGGGTGGGGGGGGGACTAGGATGGATGGATTTAAACCATAGTAATTTAGATCAGCAATTTAAATTACCAAGAAGAAAGTCTATGTCAAGTAATCAATTAAAAGCCAAATTCTCCATTTATTATTATATACTGTCTAAATAAAATATCACACCAAGGTTCCTGTTACCATAAAAAAATGACCTAGAACTTTCAGATGGTACACTATACATTTCCTAAGTGTGGTCTAAAAGAAAAAAGAAAAAGCTTATTTTTAGATTAAATTTACTCTTTGTTAATGGGAAGAACTGGATGACTATAGCACTGTTATAGAACTGCATCACCGTAAATGTATTTAATGAAAATAAACACATGTGGGGCATATAACTGCCCTGCCCACCCCCCACCACAAAACATCAATCTCATTCAGACACAAGGACAGGTGGTCCTTAGTGGAGACAGACCATGAGATGGAAAGTGAATGTCAATGGTTTTTGGCTGAT